TCCTGCAACTTCTCATCGCTGTCTTTCTCTCCTTTTCCTCTCCGTCTGACTTTCATTCCTTTTACTTATTTGGTCTTTCTCTGGCCTCCCTCACTCTTAAGCTTCTGAATCTGTCAAGGCCTCGAGAGGCTTAATCAGTGTCAGAACGGCCTTCACCAGAGCCTCCAGCTGTGGACATATTAGTTTACACACACACATACTCACACACACTCACACGTATATGTGTCTTTTGTTTCCCTGCTGAGGAAATTGTTGAAACTGCTGGACACAGAATTAGACTGTGTCTGAGAGGGTGCTGGGGGGAAACACGGGGCAGAACATCACCAGAGGACACACACACTCTATGCACACCTATAATGAAGCATCAGATATAGCAGCTACATCAGTAACATTCTGATCCTTTGCTAAAGTTTGTCCTTGGTAGAAACAAGCGTCTGCCGCTGCTGTGGGTGATAACGATCCATAGAATACATTGAATATTTATGCACAACCTAAATGTGATGGGCGAGACTGAAATGTGAACGCCACATCAATTGTTTAGTGAGGGAAGTGCACCCTTCAGTGGACGAAGGAGAAACTGCACTGCCGTGTCTAAGAGGAAATAATGATTCTTTATGCACTCATATTAAAGGGATATTACTCACCATTGGGCTAGATAGTTTTTTATTAAAAGGACGTTAAAGTAGATTATTTGGTGAAGTTATTCAACAACAAAACCCAAGCGATCACACACAGATCCATAAAAAGGTCAATAACATACAGTCATGAGAAAAACTATAATCATACACACACATACAAATAATATATGCCTAGACAGAATAATATAATGAAAATAATAATAAAAATAAAATTCATTTTAAACAGACAGTGTAAAACAAATGAATAAAATTACAATGACAACTAAACAAACAGTCATGGATTTCCTTTGAATACCTCTTTATATTAATATTTAAGCAATTGTTTATTTTCCTTGGGCTTAGTCTCTATTTCAAAGGTCGCCACAGCATATGCTTAATGCAGCATATGTTTTATGCAGCGGATGCCCTTCCAGCTGCAACCCAGTACTGGACAACACCAGGGATGTAACAATATTGTAAATATCGTCATAACGCAGTAGTAATTTTTTTCAATATTACAGTAGGCTCATGACTCAATAAAACTATATTTCTGAGAAAAGTTTGCTTAGGCGAATGAAGCGAACAGGAGGTAGCAGGATCTACAATTCCCATAAGCCTAGGCATGGCCATCATCCTTTGCGTTCTGTTGTTACTATCCAGTAATGCGGAAATGGAGTGTGTTGCTAGTAGCGGGGAAGAAAAAGAGCTGGAAATGATCGAACCTAAAGCGGGTTTTAAATCGGATGTGTGGAAGCATTTCAGTTTCTCTCTAAAAAAAGATACGAAAAAGGAGAAAAGGTGACAGACAAAGAAAAAAACAATATGCAGGCACTGCCAGACTGTGGTGAAATATAAGTCGGGGAATACGACTAAAAACAGTCATGCGGACTGCAGAACACAGCACACTTGTTAGATTGATGCAGACATTAGTCCCTTTCACACAGTGATATCGGTAAATATCCGGAAAGGTCTGTATGTGTGAAAGGGGCTACTGACTTGTACCGCAAAGAGACCTCTGTCTCACTCATGGCTTGTCCTCTCAAGTGGTGGAAAGACAATACACAATATTACCCACTGCTGTCAACCTTGGCTAAATCATATCTCTCTGTCCCAGAAACCTCAGTCCCAAATGAGAGGGTTTTTTTCTGTTGCAGGGGACGTGCCCAGAGATCCCAGCTTTTACCAGATTATAGTTATATGATGATTTTCCTTTAAAAACCCATCTCTATCTAAGTGAGTGAGTGATTAAATGTTGAATGTGATGAGTTTTCAACAATACTAAATTGAAACTTTATTTTTTTATATATATGGTTTAATAGTTTTTTGTTATTAAAATTGAAAAAATGAAGTTCCTGTTTCAAAACTTACAGATAGATGGCTAATTTGTATGTCATTGATATGTTATGTTCTGTGCTAAGGTAAATAAACAGTTTTGGCACTTTTTTTGAGTCTTTTCATTAGTTTTGTTTTTCCTCTAAATTATTCAATAAATACTGTACCGTTCCATTCATACCGAAGTATTATCGTACTGTGAAATTCTGATACCGTTACATCCCTAGAAAACACCTATACACACTCATACTCATACACAACGGCCAATTCGGACACCTGCAGAAACCTACGTGAACACGGGGACAACATTCTAACTCCACACAGAAATGCCAACTGGCCAAGTTGATACTTGAACCAGCGATTTTCTTGCTGTGAGGTGACACTGCTAACCACTGAGCCACCATGCCGCGCTCAAAAATATATATTTTTTTTATTTTGTTTGAGATGAAGTGTTAGGAATTAGTTTAATTTATTTCTAAAATGAGAAAATGATAGGTAACTAATTTCTGTTTGTGAATGAGCAATTCATTTATTCATTTTCATCCGCTTTTCCGGGGTCTGGTCATGGGAGGATAACCCCAGACTTCTCTCTCCCCAGACACTTTCCCAAGGTCTTCTCTGGTGGAACATGCTTAGTACACTTCCCTAAGTAGGCGTCCAGGCGGCATCCAAAACAGATTCTCGAGCCACCTCAGTTGACTTCTCTCGATGTGAAGAAGCAACAACTTTACTCTGAGCTCGTTCTAGAGTTTCATTAATGACAGTATTAACAGATGTATAGTTGAAGTCAGAATTATTAGACCCTCTTTAAAATTAGTTTTCTTCTTTTTAAAAATATTTCCCAAATGATGTTTAACAGAGTAAGGAAAGTTTCACAGTATGTCTTATAATTTTTTTTTATTTGAGAAAGTTTTATTTGTTTTATTCTGGTGAAGCAGTTATTATTTTTTCAAACTTCATTTTAAGACTAAGATTATTAGCACCTTTAAGCTATATATTTTTTCTTTAGTTAAATCCTGCAACTTCCATAAGGTATATAGAAGTAAATGTGCAATGGTAAGAAATTTACAAGATGTAATTAGGGATAGTTCATAACTTACAGTAGGGATAGGCTATCTCGGCCCAAAATAAGATTGCCTACAATCATAATTTACTCATTCTTTAGCGTGAAATATTGAAATGTTGGGAAAAAATTACAACATTTGTCAGAGTATCTTTTGTGTTCAACAGAACAAACTGGTCCAGGTAATGTAAAGGGTAAGCAAATTATAACAGAATTGTCATTTTTGGGTAAACTATAATTTTAAAGATGTTGTAGCCTAAATAGTAACAACACTGACTGATATTTTTGCTCCATTAAATCTCAGTGTTTAATAAAAAGCCACAAGCATTTATTTAGTTAAATCTGAGTTAATGCTACCCGAGTAAAACACATGACAGAACTACAATCATCTAAACTAAATGATCAAATAAAAATAAAATAATTTCAAACACCTGTTAATCATTAATCCATGTGGGACATTTTTTTCATTATGATTTAGATGTTTTTGACATGCCACAGTACCAATAGAACAAATTACCAGTACACTAAGATATGTTTCCATTAAAGAAATACAATTCCCATTATAACTAAAAAAAAAAGACCAACAGATACTGGATGTGTTTTGTTCAGCTGTGCTTGTTATTCATTAAATAAATCAGTGATGGCACTAATCAAATGACTATGAAGATTTACGGGAAAAAAAAACATAACTGCTGCTAAATGTCTAATTTGGGCTGATAAAGTTTTTAATTTGATATATTTTTATTTCTATTTATTTATTGTGAATCAAAACCAACTAGCAGTTCGCTAAAATCGCTAACAAATGATTCTTGTGAACTGTCTGGAGAGAATCGAAACTATTCAGCGCTAATGGGCGACCATTGATCTCAATAGGCCTCATGATGATGATCCTTCCCTGAAACGTGTGGAGCGTTTTCTGAATCAACATCTGGCTCGCTACAGTTTTCATGTCTGCATTGATTTGAAACTGGTTCGTTCCATGTCGATACACTTTTTATTTTGCAAAGAACTTTTAAGCTATTGACCCTTGAAAAAAATAGCATAGCCGTTGAGAAAGAAATATGATAGGCTATACATTAATGAAACAAAGAAGGCGCTTGCAGGTATGGTTATGTGTAGCTACACACGCGCGCGCAGAATGGGCCGTCGTCCGAAATCTTGAGATTATCAATAAGATAATTGTTTTAAGTGAAGATGATTTGATCACGACATGTCAGCTTGAACACAACGTGATTGCAACAAACAGCCAACAAATAAAGTGTTTAAAAAAATCTAAAACGAGCACTTTTATGGCAAAGTTATTTTCCTGGTCTTTAAAGTGAAATAACTCAACATAAAGTTTTTTTTTTTTGTGTCTGAACTGTATATCAACAAATGTTAATTAGATAATAATAATAATAGTAAATAAAAATATATAAAGAAAAAAATGACGTCCTCAAGTAGGCTATAGCCTGCTCTATCTGTTATGAGAGATAGGAACAATTGCCACAGTATCATACTAGTTTCCACTTTGCTCGATTAAAGTTTCTTTAGAACCGACAGTGACAGCTCGATGTGAGTCTCTACTGTGATCTCAGATAAACGTTCGGCTCACGGTGCGAAACTGAACACTTCAGTGATATTAATCAGGTCTTTGTAACTACCGATAGCGTCCAGTCAATCAATGAAACTAGTTTCTCTGGATCTGGGGGAGGTTAATCCAGCCAGCCTCTCTCGATCCCCGAGACTTTTATTTAGTGTGGTGGTTGTGGGATTTCAAAATTGACCCAAAACAAACGAATATGATTGGCTAAGATTGGCAATGGACATTCGGAAATGCTGCACATGTATACAAAGACCCGCGGAAAATTAGTTTTAAAAACGAAGAGAAAAAAAACTTTTCTCTTCATGAGCCAATCCTTGGCAAGTAAATCCCCAAAGCCCCGCCTCATATGCTAATGAGAATCCTCTGTGAGGGTCTGTGTGAATGGGGGCGAGTGTGCGTGTTTATCAGTATGTACAGCCGCTGCGCTGCCACACACCACTTCACTGGCAACACACATTGAAAGCTACTTTCTGTTTTGGAGTTAAAAGCTTCTGAAGACCAGCATTAAAACATTTCTGCAGGATTTTATGCTGTGAACGCTACTGTGCTGAAATGGGTGGACAGGTAACCCGCTCCACTTCAGGTGAGTGATGATTCTAAAATGTCAAAGTAGCAGCTAATATCTAAACGTAAATTACATGAATATATACATTTGTGTTTAGCTTAATAATTAGCTTAATAGATTTCTAAATAAAATGAGCCGTCTTACTGAGCTGGAATAACTGGAAAAACGTGCTCTAAACATAGCCTACCTGTTGCCTAACACACGACTTTAAAACGTATTTCTTTGTTGCTACAAAATAAATGCATTTCAGACGGCCTAATATTGTGTTTCTGACAACTGTCTGTACCGTTGATGAGCAGGTGAACAATTTGTCTCTCAAAGATTTATATAAAACTAGACTTATATATTCTTAACACACCTTTGTTGTTGAAAATATTGACATAGTGTATACAATGCTCAGTATAATTGAGTACACCCCATTTTAAAAGTGAATATTTTTATCAATTTCTCAGTGAATATATGCAATGTATTTTGGTGCATTCAAACAAAACAGATTTATTAAACAGATATGTTTATCTAAGTTATATTTTAGTCACAGAAAATCTTTAGAAATTGAAAGATAATACAATTAAATTCAAGCAAAATACTTTTAAAAATTCAACTAATTTGTTTCTCTCTTGTTTTGCTTCTCTTGATTTTTGATTTAAAAAAAAAAAAATGTATTTTAAAATTTCCATAACAAATACATTTGAGTGTACTAGTTTTTGTACCATTATCGTAAGTTATTTTGTTAAATAAGCTGCAGATGTAGCCTCAGTACTGACTAATCTAATGTATATGCACAAATATAATATTTTAAAGCTTCCTATTAAAAATATGAATTTAAAAAATAGATTTGTGAGGGGTGTACTTATATATATGCTGAACACTGTATATACCTACCAAGTTAATTTTTAAAAACAATTAAGCTATTTTAAAACAATTGCAAGCATAACAGCTTTGAAACCCGATTTACAATAATTTTGAGCAATTTTGCCCAATAGTATGTCCCCTGCACATTTTATAGGTTTATTCACCCTTTAAATAAGAAAAGTAGGCTAAATAAACCATTGCAGATTTATACTCTCTTAGTAAACGAAGCTGACACTAAGTCAATCTGACACTTAGGCCAGCATTTGCCTACAGGAGAGTAAGAGAGAGAGAGAAAGAGAGAGAGAGATGTTACACACATATAAAGGAATATGACATTATCATTATTAAGAGAACACCCCTAAAAAATCTCTTTAAAGCAAGATAAAAAAAAATAAGAAATATAGATATCTGTCATGCTATTTTTGTTTGTGTCTGGCAGTTTTTTTTAAGTACCAGTCAACCATCACTTAAATGTTTTAAGGAAAACATAAAAAATATTTATTTCTTAATTTATTATGTTTAGGGTTTAATATAGAATAATTAGATACATAAAAAAAGAATAATATAGCAGTGAAAACACATTTATAAGTTTTATTGTATTGTCATCAGACAGAGGACATGGTGTTTATGGTTGGAATATTATGTTCCACTTGGCTGTGTGTGTGTGTAAACAGATTCCCTTATAAACACATACAGTACACAAATACACTCACACCTGCAACTGAATGTCCTCATTTGCCCACACAGAACTTGCGCAGATAAAGTGGGCGAAAGTATGCAGAATCTCGTGCTTGTGTAACTAAAAGCGAGAGAATCAATAGTTGATACACACCCAATAAAATGTCAACAGCAGTTAATTAAAGAGGAAAATTCTGAAATAAGGCAGTGTCCTTGACTTAATGCTTTGTAGAGGTCTGGGAAAATATGAAAGGGAGTAAAGGAGTACGAGATTGATCATGAGCCAGTTTCATCTGTGAGAATCTGCATTAGCTTTGGTATTCTTTAATGGCTGTTTATGTCTTTGCTTTCTAATTATTTATTTTCTAATTGTCATTAGCACTGACTTTTTTAACTCATCTATGCTACACATTTAAAGCACTGTAAAATCTGCAATGCATAATTCTGATTGGTTCATAGACATTCTAAGTTGTTTATATATACAGTGCTCAGCATATATGAGTACACCCCAATTTAAAAATGAATATTTTTATTTATTTCTCAGTTAATATGGGTAATGTATAGTGGTGCATTTGAACAAAACAGATTTATTAAACAGATATATTTAATAAAATAACATTTTAGTCACAAAACACCTTTAGAAATGAAAATATAATACAATTAAATTCATGTAAAAAAAACAATTACAAACAACAACATTTTAACACATTTTTATATATTTTGTTTCTCTTGATTTTTGAAAATTTTATTTAATATTTTTAGCTAACATTAAAAATTGGCTACTAATTTTTTAACCATTAATGTAAGTTATTTTGTTAGATAAACTCCAGATTTGGCTTCAGTACTGAGTGACTAATCTAATGTATATGCACAAATATAATATTGTAAAGCATCCTATAGAAAATATTATTTTAAATGAGAGATTTGTAGGGGTGTACTCGTATATACTGAGCACTATATATATAGTAATTGCACAGTTGTAAGGTAGTTGACCGTATTGCAATTCTAATCATAGCAGGTTAGTTCTGTTGTTTATTATAGCCATGTCAATCTCTAAACAGGCACTGTTTTTCATCATCCTCTTGTCCCTTTCACCTGATTATGCCAAAGACTTGTGGCCCAGTTAAGGTTGATTTGTTAATTAGTTATTATATTTACTAATAGTTTGTTTGTGTTAATAAATAAAATTTAATGTCTAGCCAGCATTAAAGGACAACGTTTTTTTGACGTACAATATTAACGTCAATTTTGTTGATATTTGGTTGATGGACGTCAGGTGACCAAAATTTAATGTCTAGCCAGCGTCTAAGGACAACCTTAATTTCACGTCCAACAACAACGTCAAATTACATTGATATTTGATTGATAGAAAGTGACCCAAATCCAACATCTGATACATGTCATAGTGGTAGCGTCCACACAATGTCAAGCTTTAACATGATTAGACATTAATGTTTGGTTGATTTTAGGTTGTGTTCTGACCTAATTAGTATTTAAAGTTTATTACTGGTTCAGCTTAAAAATGTTTTTGGCATATTTCACTTGAATCACAAATTAATACACTTCATTAAACTTGTACTATTATTACATGTAAATATAATTTATTTTGGAAGGACAGCATATACTGTGTCTATATTCTGCTTACCGTATAAACAACTCCTTAACTTTTCTGATTTTGACTCCAATGTTATGATGTGCACCTATTATGAAGCTGCTTTGGAACAATAATTATTATAAACTTAATTTGAAGTGTTAAATCTTCCTGCAATGTTTGCAAATTATACTGCAATGCTATATTAATAAACATACTTCATTAAGCCTCATTTAGCCAGATCACTTTATCCTTGTGAATATATATGAATAAACACATTTAAACTGTATTATAAACAAGTGTTGTCTGCTGTTGAATTGACACGTTGACTTAGCAAAACATTTGTGCATGTGGAGACATAACCTCATTTTTGGCATCCTGAATAACAGAAACATGCATTCTGTCTCCATCTGTCTATCTCTTTCTCCTTTGTTGTTTCACTCTTCTTGATAAAGATTTTCATTCAGAGATGGTTGCCACTGCTCTCCCTCTGTTCTGTAAACACAGCACAAAGCTCTTAGAAAGAATAACAGCACTTGTCAGAATTGGTTGTGAGTGCCTGTTGAATATACATAGCAGCTAATTTTTTGTCCATTTGTTAGACACAGGGACCCTTCACTGCCATCCCTTGAAGGCGAACATGTGCCCACAGCTGCCAGCCCCCCTGCCGCTCTGTTTCCATGCCAACACGAAAGGCTCTCAGATTGTGATGGACAAGACACAGCGCAGTGTGCGGCGGATTGCCAGCTTCTGCAATGCCATCACCTTCACCAGCCGCCCAGTTGGGGTCTACGAGCAGGTCCGGCTGAAGGTATGGTAACCCAACGCTCACCCGTTTCCACATGCCATCCTGTAAAAGCGATTTGTGTGGTCCCAAAATAGCCCTCACATATCCTTATTTCATATCACTCCATCTCTAACTTTTCAGACGAAGGGTAAACAGAGAGAGAATGTCAGAAATGCTAACATGTGAGGTTGTGGCGTTATCTTATTCTGCTGAACGAGGTTGTCTGGGTATGAAAAAACAAGAATCTCTGGCCGATAAATGTGTCTTTGGGTGTCTATTTATAGCGTTACATATGTCACACTTTTTTGTTCATATACAGTAGCCTCTGGCTCTGTTTCCACATGATACTAACTGGTGTTCTCAGTTATCACAAGTGGTAACTTAATCTGTTAAATAATTTATGAATTTGACTGGAAGTTCACTGATTCAAATGATCTGGTCAAACTATGTCTCCAGTAAAATTTTAATTGAAATTATAAACTGACTTAACCCTGGTTCACATTGTGTAATTTTTTAATAATACTACAGAATTGTAGCTTGTCAGATTGCACAAACATAACCCCCATTTCACACTGTAAGATCTCTGTTGTCATAATGCCAGACTGAATGATGATGAAGACGCATCAAACACAGACTCACAAGAAAAGATACCCAGAGTTTGACGTCATCCATTCGTGACACTTTCACCGTCCTGCATTCTGATGTGATAGATTAAACCAAATATAAACATATTTTGCTCACAGAGTGCCTCAATATTAAAACCAGAAAAAAGCAGTTTCTGGTTTGAAATGTCGCGCAGCAGATTCATTGCTACTATTCCCAGCAGGCACAACGTCATAAGATGTTAATATTAGGTTAGATTTAGGTTATGATGCCAGGTGACCAAAATTCAATGTCTAGCCAGCGTCTAAGGACAATGTTGATTCGATGTCAATAACGATGTCAAATGATGTTGATATTTGGTTGATTTCAGGTTGTGTTGGAAAGTGACCAAAATCCATTGTCTAATACTGTAGATGTCACAGTGGTAACGTCCACACAAAGTCAAGGTGTAACACGATTAGACGTTGATTTTAGGTTGGACATTAGACATTGACATTGGCTTGACGTTGGGTTCTGACGTTAACCCAATTTTTATTTCCAAACAAACTCCAACGTCCCCACCACCTTGGTTTTTATTGGGGTGCAACGTCAGTATGATGTCATGTTGATGCCCTGTGCCTGCAGGGTTAGTTCTTGGTTTGACGCTCATCGTAGTTGAAGTTACACTGCAGGAGAGAATATGAAATCTTCTGACACTGACAGAACTTCATCACAGGGAAGTAGGTCTGCACAATTTGCAGAAAACATTTATTTGCGATTTATCTGACCAAAATTGTGATTTGTGATTTAAAATGTGATTTACTACCATTTCAAAAAATAGCAGGTTTGATGTTTTGGGTTTTAACAGCAGCAAAGCAAGACCAAGCATAATCACCCTAGTACCCTACACTATGCTACTGTTTATTTAAGACCTCTGAAACATTTTTTCCAATAAAGTTGTCAATTGTCATGACAGATAGAGAAAATAAATTTTGAATTTAATTGAATTAATTATATGTAAAATCTTATAAACATAAAGGTTTTTGGAGAAAGTAACATATTTATTTCATTAAACAATTGTATTTGTATTGCTTAAGGGGATATATATATATATATATATATATATATATATATATATATATATATATATATATATATATATATATATATATATATATATATATATAAACCAAACTTCTTCTCGAGTGTGATATGCTTTGCATACTAATGAAGAAGTTTTGCAAAAGCAGATTTATCTGAAGCAATGTGGCTCAGTAGTTAGCACTGTCACCTCACAGCAAGAAGGTCATTCGTTTTGAGTCCTAGCTGGGTCAGTTGGCATTTCTGTGTGGAGTTTGCATGTTCTCCCTGTGTTTGCATGGGTCTTCTCTGGGTGCTTCGGTTTCCCTCACTATCCAAAGACATGTTCGATAGGTGAATGGGCTCTATGAACAGCTAAAACTTTAAAGTCAACAATAAACGTCTGATAAAAGCTTCATGTGGCTATTTTCAATTCACAGGGTTGTTTTTTACAGCATCTATTTTGTATTGTAATTACAATACCTTCAGTTAAATAGACTTAAGTATTAATTTAGTTCAGGGGTGGCCAACCCTGTTCCTGGAGAGCCACCTTACTGCAGATTTCAGCTGCTATATCAAGCACACCTGAACCAATTAATTAGGACCTGAACACCATGTGATAATTACAGGCAGGTGTGTTTGATATGGGTTGCAACTGAAATCTGCAGGAAGGTGGCTTTTCAGGAACAGGGTTGGCCACTCGTGATTTAGTTGTTCAAGAGTAACGAGAGAAAAGACTTTGTAACTGCTAGCGGATCAGGATACTTTTGACCATAATGACAAAATGCTTATAAGGTGTATGTGTCAACTCTCTCACTTGTTGTGTCTTCCTTTAGATCACAAAGACACAGGGATGTTGGAGCGGTGCCCTGCGGGTGGGTTTCAGTATTGTGGACCCATCTAATATAAGTTCAGCATGGCTGCCGCGGTTCGCTTGCCCAGATCTAGTCAGCGAGCAGGGATTTTGGGGCAGAGCGCTTCCTGAGGAACATTGTGAAGAAGGAACTATTCTGTCGTTCTGGCTGGATAACATAGGCCGAGTGTTTTACAGGGTGAACGGCGGCTCTCCGATCTTCTTCTTTAGTGGTGTACCAGCTGGAGAACCAGTGTGGGGCATCATTGACATTTACGGGCTGACACGTGGTGTACATCTACTCGGTGAGTTCACATTTTATTAATTTATAATGTCGCTTCATGTTCTACACCAAGAAGCACTCAACGGCCTGAAGCTGGTTTGCCTGGACGTGTTGTTGAAGTAAGTCTCTGCGCACATCAGATGTTGTGCCATTCAGAGTTTGCTGCGAGTGGAATTGTTTTCGCTCTAGGCCGGTGTGTAATGTAGGCCAGTATCTGAGCTGTGCTTCCCTGAACACGTGCTGACCGCTTGAAGAGTTGTAGAGTTCACTGAGGTCAGTTTGTTTTCGCCGTGCAGAGCATGTTTAAACAATTTAAACGCACAGCATTTAAAAATAGAATTGTAGATTTATACCCTCTTATCCTAATTACAAAACTGCCCAATGGAAAAAAGATGGGAGAGATTGGAAAAATTGCTTAGCAACATGTTCACTTTTACAATGTAAAACGTATGCTGGGGAATTCCAGATGGGCAAAGTGAGAAAAACAAATTGTTGTTAATAAACTCGAAGTTCCATTCATAATTTTGTCAAGACCAACTTCAGGTTTCATTAAGCTACTTATGCATTTCCACATGGAAAGAAGTTGTGTTTTACTTTTAGATATTTAAAGCATTTGTAAACATATACAGACTCAAATTACTTTTGATGTTTGTTGTTATTATTCATCAGTTTTCTGATTGGTTGCCGTAATGTCAACAGTTTACAGAATTTAACAAGAAACTTTAGAAACTTTGTTAAAGTAGATATGATAAATGAATAAAAATGCGGCTACAAAAAGATGATATATTTTGAGAGATAAATATGTTTTTCATTTTTAAGTAAAATATAATAAGGAATTTAACTATTTTGCATTTAAATCTATTATAAAATGTAATTGTAAGGTTGAAGGTGAATTTTCTGTCGCCATTACTGCAGTTTTTAACACCCCATCCTTCTTCAGAAATCATTCTAAAATGCTGATTTGGTGACCAAGAAACACTATTATTATTATCAATATGTTGAAAACAGAATGTGCTGCTTAATATTTTTATAAAATCAAACAAACAAAGAATCAAATGAATATTTATTTTACTGATACTTAGGGGTAAAGTTTTGATTAATATAGCAGTTGTTTCAGCTTTTGTATGAACAAAGAATGCACAATTGTTTTGCCACATTGCTGTTTCTTTGGAAAAGGTAGCTTATTGCTAGAAAAGCAACATTGTTTTGAAAGAACGCTACTGTTGCAAAGCTAAAAAATGTACTTCTTAGTCACTCTTCAACACTCTCCTAATAAATACATAAAACTAAGCTGAGGTATAAGAATAATACATTGTGTGTAAATGAAATACATCTTAGTAAATGCATACGTACACTACCGGATAAAAGTTTGGGGTCAGATTTTTTTTTTCACGTTTTTTTGTTAAAGAAAAATTGTTCTGTTCATCAAGGCGGCATTTAATAAATGTAAAGAAATTGTTAAATTGTTCAGTATTTATTTATTACTTATTGTATGTCATTTTAAATGAAATTATTACTCCAATCATTATTGTTTTTATTGCTATTACAATTACCATCCACAAGGATAAGCTTATTTTAAAACATTTAAAAATTCTGCTAACCCCAAGGATTTGACCGGTAGGGTATAATACTGAGAATGGGAATCTTCTGCATTTTTTTGGCAATGATCAGGAGCGCACAATTTAAATCAATACAAATCATCCAACACATGCTCATTGTAGATACATAGCCTTATTGGCATTACTGGAAAACGCAAATTATATAGCAAGAGTTACAAATGGCTGCATTACGAATTTAAAATGAACTTTACAAGGCGGTATAAAATGCTTCTGCCAACGGCTTCTGTTCCTTTCAGCGATAACGGCTGACCGCTTACCTCCATAGGGACGGCTTTTCCTGTATTACCAGTTTGACCAGTAGTTCACTGCATATGCTGATGGACTTAAGACACAGAGCTAAATTGACCATAAAGACAAGGTTAGAGTCTGGTGAAGAATGGTTCCAGAAACCAGTTAAAACAAAAGCAAAAAAAATCAATAAATAAACAACAGGCTGAAAACATGGTAAAATCACACACCCGCTACTGATTTTCTTTTTCTAGATTGCTTTTGAAAACACTATCGGTTGGGTTTAGAGACAAGGTTGGGTGGGTCAGTCAGTCAGTCAACAGTAAGCTGGCCTGGTCACCTGTAGTGTTTATTGCGTCCTCTGATGGATTTATGCGAGAAAAATACATACAAGATAAATTTGAGACCTAATAAAAGGTGTACACAGTGGCCTCTGGTGGATTTGCAAAGGCAAAAACAGGCAGCTATACCTCCAGTTACGTATTTGAAATCTCCACAGAAAAGATGAACATTTTATATTAACACCATTTGAAAGACATCTTAAAAACACTCTAAATGAAATTAACTAACATGTAGACACCTTTATAAACCCGTTATGTGTCTGACAAACTGAAAATACGCATTCCATAATATTCCAGAAGCTAGAGAAGCTGAGCACAGATGTACAGGGAGCAGATCAAATAAATGAACCAGCTTGTACAAAAGTGACAGAGTATCAAAGAAAACATTTCCATATATGCTTTTCTTCTTTATTTGTAGTGTGAGCGCTTAGTCAGTGTATATATATGATGCAATAAACCTATAGAAATCAACTGCATCCAGATTCCTATTTCCCAAATTCCCAGAATGCTTTGCACTGTAATAGCACATTCCCATTCTCTATATATTCTCTCCTCTCTCTCGTGTTTGAGTAAAAATAGTCAGTGTTTCCACAGAGTCAGGTACCAGGCAGTATGTCTCATCAGTGGGATGTGGGTGTGTTGTCAAGCCTAGACAGCATGTGTGTGTGTGTGTGTGTAGTACTGATATCTGTGGTCAGTATGAGTGTAACATCATTTAACCCATGGGACAGTTTGACTAATTTAACCTTCATTATATAACTAGATCTCAAGTTTCCAAACCGACTAGACACAAATACAGAGTGCACACACACCCCATCAAATTTTACTCCTGTTACAGTAGCCTGTCACTATTTACTGGCTATTTTATGTTCAAGCTTATTTTCAGTTGCACTTTGCCTCTGTATAAACATGGATGGCTGGTTTATAGATGAACATTAATCATGCCACGAGTGATCTGCACACGCTGTGATCTCTCACGTTACCTTTGCCACTTCCAAAACATCTTTATAGTCAGATGGCCAGATGTCACGCCTGAAATAACCTCCTGTGCTCATTAATGTCGATCACATCTGGCACTGTGTCATAGGGCTGGTGTCACTGTTGTACAAAATAACTGATTACTGTAATTAAATTACTTATTCACTGAAATGTAAAGTAAGGGGTTACATTTTTAGGTTATCTAATTACACTTACTTTAATGTACTTACCTAAAATAGCCTTTATTCAACATTTCTGTATGAATCAGTTCAGAGAAGTAGAGTATGGTATTGTTGTATTTTTATTTTTTATTTGTTATACAGAATTATTTTGCAGAATAATTCTATTTTTCATCTGAAGACATGTAGATTTATAATAATAATAATAATCAGGGCTTGACTTTAACTTTTTTGATCACCAGCCACTGTGGCTAATAGTTTTCCAATGTTACTAGCCACTTGCCATTTTTACTAGCCACAATTTTGTTGTGGGGAAAATATGTTTTATATGCATGAATTTGACTTTGGGATGCTAAAATTACTTGATTTCAATTTTGTGTTATGTCCACATGCCTCCTCGTTCAACTTTTTGGTCACATTTTATTTTGATGGTCCGTTTGTTGAATTTAAGTTACATTGCATCTACATGCCAACTAATTCTCATTAGATTATGATTAGACTGTTAGGTTGGGGTTAGTGTAAGTTGTGATGTGCTTGCAATCAGTCTTATAGTCAGTTAAATGCTGTTGAAGGAGAAGTATCAGATAAGTAACAGATATTAAGCAGACATGCCCCTAATACTCAAGTGGACCATCAAAATAAAGTGCTACCAACTTTGTTGAGTGTCATGTAAGACCTTGCTCAATTAGCATGAGCAAATGGGTTGTGTTTTCAAAGTGTCGCATTGCAATTATTTTAATTTTTCATGACTTTTCAGGGCTCAACACTAAGGATTTATCTTCTTTTCTCTCTTGGCCACATCAAACTAATTATTTCCTTGCCACAAATTTTAAATGGGTCAAAACAAACAAAATATAGCTGTATACATACACTTTTTTATTTTAACATTGATGGTCGCGCGCACATGGTTATCCTTTGGCCTATTAATAACCTGTTAAAGCGAAAGCACAAAGTTTACAAACAATCTCTAGCTCTCGAAAGTAGCAGGACTGTGGGTGCACACGCATCGCATTTTTTCCAGTCTATTTCAAAGAAAACCAGTTGCATTTTTGCAACGGTTGCTTAGCGGAAGGAAATGAGAGCGTGTAAGCTTTTAAAACACTCGCGTACATCACATTAGCTGTGTGCATGTCTACCTGTATTTGGCGGGTTCGCGGGTGTTAATGTCAAGCCCTGATAATTATTCCTTACGTTTAAATAGCGCTTTGCTGGACACTTTACACATTTTTGGGGAGAATCTCCTCGTCCACCACCAATGTGCAGGATCTAGGTGCTCTAGGTTTGCCGGTTTTAAACATGCATTCACAAAGGTATGAACCATTATGGGGTAGTCAAATGTATATTGAAGTTATCTATTACCTATTAAACTTATATTTTATTTTGATGTCCTTCAGGGGGCATCAAGCAATCAAGCTTTCTTTTGGGCATCATTCACTCATAGCAAACTAATGGTGAGAGAGGGTATTAATATGTAGTTGCTATGGAAGCCCTTTTCTTGATGTCAACAGAAGGACTGCCACTATAAATGTGCAAGCAAATAGTTTAAAAGATGTATTGGGTTTTAAAATAAAATTGAGAATAGTTATTACATTGCTTATTGAGTAACTATATTATTGAGAACTAGCCACAGCCATTTCACCCCGCAGCCCAAGAGCGGTTACTCACTGAAGCTAAGCAAGACTGAGCCTGGTCATTACCTGGATGGGAGACCACATGAGAAAACTAGCTTGCTGTTTGAAGAGGTGTTAGTGAGGCCAGCAGGGGGCGCTCAACATGCAGTCTGTGTGAGTCCTAATGCCCCAGTATAGTGAAGAGGACACTATACTGTCAATGAGTGCTGTCTTTTGGAGGAGATGTTAAACCAGGGGTGGGCAAACTCGGTCCTGGAGGGCCGATGTCCTGCACAGTTTTGCTTCAACACTAATCAAACACACCTGAACATGGTAATCAGTGTTTCCAAAATCACTAGAAATCTATAAGCAGGTGTGTTTGATTAGAGTTGGAGCTAAACTGTGCCCTCCAGGACAGAGTTTGCCCACCCCTGTGTTAAATCAAGGTCCTGACTCTGTGTGGTCATTAAAAATCCCATGGCTCCTCTTGTAAAGAGTAGGGGTGTAACCCCGGTGTCCTGGCCAAATTCTCTCCATCGGCCCTCAATCATGGCCTTTCCATCATCCCCATCCACCAAATTAGCTCTATCACTGTCTCACCACTCCACCAATAGCTGGTGTGTGGTGAGTGCACTGGCGCTGTTGTCCTGTGGCTGCTGTCGTATCATCCAAATGGATGCTGCACACTGGTGGTGGTGTGGAGAGACCCCGCCTCATGATTGTGAAGCACATTGGGTGTATGGCCATACCCAATAAATGCGCTATATAAAAAAAACATTACATAACATTACTCTTCAGACAAAGTAATTAAAAAAGTAATTATGTAATTTGTAATTAGTAATTGTTTTGAAGCAACTTACCCAACAGTGATTGGTGTACATTGTTTGGTTAAACAAAAATCATCCTGTGTGTGGATGAAGTATTTTTATAGTCTAAACATCCATAAAAAATGCTGAAAAAGTACCTTCATTTTAGTTGTCTAATTCATGACCCCAGTGTCACTGAAGCCTTAATGTCTCCATAGTTCCTGATCAGAACAGTCAGCGTCAGCTAAAGTTGAGTGGAAAGCATTGATGTCAAGCCCGGAAACTAAAAACAACTCAGAGAGGAACATCTACCGCATTTGTTTCTGCTGATGCGGCTGGACTGAAAGTTATAGCAGACTAGTAATTTCCATAGTGGAAGCTCTGGTGTTCTCATCAGCGTCTGTCCACTGCTAACGGCCATTTGCAGCATTTTTCCTGACTGAGGTCAACATGAAAAACCACCCAGCGCAATTATATTGGTGCTGCTGATTGCAGGCTTACATGAGCAATAGATTCTGGGGAGGAAATATGAGTGGTGCTTACTCTTGCAAAACTCTCAGCCACATTGAATGTGTTGTGGATGGTAGCCAGGGCGTTGCTATGCAAGTACAATAATGTTGCATGACATTTGTAATCAAATGTGAGTTGTTGTTTTTTTGTTAAAGACCCCCCCAATTCCACAACTAATCATCAGCATCACGGGGGCATCATGAAAACATCATACCAGGATGTTTATGTAAGATTGTACAAATTTATATTAATAAGCCTCTAAAGTCAAATTGTTGCTAATATAATTGCTAATAGAGTTGCTGTGAGATGTTTTGGGATTTGCATTGTGTGCCATGACTCATTTGGTATGTGCAGAATCACTGTATTTTTGGAGTTTTTGTTTTTAGATTTATTTTGTCATGTGGTTTGAGTGGTTCTTTTTTAGAAGGGATGTTAGAAATTTTTTTTTAGCAATCATGAGTTATAAATTCAGTCTGGTGGGGTTAAAACTTGTAATTCTCAGCTTATGGTTTTTTCAATATTTTTAATAAAATGTTTTATATTATATATATTTATATAAACTTTTTAATATTTGAAAGATTATTAACTGATTATTTAAAAAAATACATAAAAAATTATATTTACAATTGAAATCTAGTAATATGAAATATTTTAGTTCATATTGCTCAAACCCTACACAGAAATAAAGGACACCCTTATACGGTCACCAATGCAAACTGAATGGTGATGTCTTTACATCCAAACAAAATATTACTGTAGACATTTTGCTTTTGAGATAACTTCAAATTTGGAATATAACTTATATATTTGCATTTTCTCAATGTAAGAATAAAAAATGTTTGGTAAAATACATATTTTATATAATGTAATGTATAAATAGTAATTTATAGTTTTATTATTTTTATTTAACACATAACTTATATTATTTTTGCACTTTCTTCATTTCACCTTTAAACTGATCTTCTGTAAGACCAAGTTTAAATCTGTGCACAAAAGTGTTGCGATTTGGCAATCTTGAAGATAAACGTGTCATTTATGTTCAAAAAGTGGGACCAACATTTTTAAACGCAAACAAACAAACAAACAAAAATCCTATGTACAGCTTGGAAAAATTGGGAAAATGAGAATGCTCTTGAACAAGAATCATATTGTTGTGATTGAAAGGGTTTTCCTAAGGTAGCTTAGTCCTCCATCTCTCTAAGGTTATAATTCTCTCCTTCTAAAATGTACTATCTGCAAAGCAAAAAATTGTAAGTAATCACATAAATTCAGAAAAACAACATGATTGTGATTTTAAACACTGTGTGTTTGTTTTCCAGACTGTAAGATGCTGCCAGCTGAATATCTCAGTCCTGCAGTGACTCACGAAGGCATGGATGACTGGCATCTGTCCAGCGGCTGCTCAGAGTTTGACCTCCAGGAGGATCTGCCATCTTTCTCCAGCTCTCCAAACGCCCTAAACTTGCTGCTGTCTCATCAGCTCAGCGATGACCTACATTTCCACAGCGTCCACGGCAGTGCTCTGCGTCTGCTGACCGAACACATTGCTGTGCGTTACTACAACAGACGCGAGGCCTGCGCTTTGGTGTTCACACACCGGCCACTGCGCTGCGGAGAGTGTGTGTTCCTGAAGGTCTCGCTCAGGTCGTCAGGATTTTTGTCTTATGGATTCACTTCTTGCAATCCAGCTCATGTAAACTCAAAGCACCTGCCGGTGGATCCGGATGAACTGCTGGACCGGAAGGAGTTTTGGGCTTTTAGCAGCATGACCTCAGCACTTGTCGGCGGAGACATCATCGGTTTCCGGGCAACAGCGGAGGGGGAGGTGCTTGTGAGTCATAATGGAGGCAGAGCTCGTAGAGAGATGTGTGTGGATAATTCAGCTCCTCTTTGGATGATCTTTCACTTGCAGACACACATCAAACAAATCAGCATACTGGGTAAAAACAATTATTAAATATTATAATAAAGTATCATATTTTACTTTACCTTTTTGATTTAATAAAATTAGATTAGATTAGAACGTCTTTATGGTCCCCGAAGGGCAATTAGGTTTACAGCAATAGCTGACAGTTAACAGCAACGAGTCACACTCAACAACATAGAGATAACACACTCAATAACATAGAAATATAATTTATTTATAAGTAAATTAATCATGAAAAAAAAAATATTTAAAAAAATAAATAATAACCTAAAGCTTCGACTACTGCTGTGTGTCCCCACAACAAACAGCACATTAATATTTAATATAACTGATGTTTATATACAGTGGTAAAAAGAGTACAGAAAAATTATAAGAAAAAATACCATTACTTGCCTAAAAATGTTGTGCTAGAAGAGTAAAAGTACCTGTTGTAACTATTACTCAACTTATGAGTAAAATGTAGCCCTTTCAAAAGTACTCAATAGTGGTGAGTAGTGAGTATTACGCTGTGAAAAGCTGATGAATTTACATGTCATTTGTTGATATGTGTAAACGTAAAATTCTGTAGTGCATTTAGTTATTGCTCAGCAGGCACACAATGTCATAAGACGTTAATATTAGATTAGACTTAGGTTGTGTTGTCAGGTGACTAAATCTCTCAAAAATGTCTAACCAGTGTCTAAGGACAATATTATGTTGATGTCCAATAACAACGTGAAATTACTTTGATATTTGGTTGATTTTAGGTTGTGTTAGAAAGTAACCAAAATCCAACGTCGAGCCAACATTTTAAACCAATGTCATATTAACGTCAAATACTGACACTGATTCATCAAGTATGGCAACCAAAATCCAACATTTGATAGACATCATAGTTTAACATCCACACAACGTCAAGCTGTGACATCATTAGACGTTGATATTTGGTTGATTTTAGGTTGTTTTGGAAATGGACCAAAATCCGGCTTCAAGGCAACATCTTAGACAAATGTCATATTGACATCAAATACTGACATTTATTCGTCAGGTATAGCAACTAAAAACCAACTTCTGATAGACGTCATAGTGTAACCTCCTTACAATGTCAAGATGTAATATTAGACGTGGTTATTTGGTTGATTTTAGGTTGGACATTTTCTAAACCCCATAGACAAGACAAATAAAGTAGTGACTGCAGGCTGAAGGATAATAGTAGTGTAAAAGTACCAATACTGCACTAAAAATGTTCTTAAGGAAAAGTAAAAGTACACATTTTTAAAACTGCTTAGTAAATTACAATTCCTAGAAACACTACTCAATAATTTGTTCCTTTACACCACTGTTTATATATAATAACTATCTAGTTACTAGTTAATTAGTTAAAGTTAGTAACTAATAAAGTTATGATATCTAATAACTGTTCTGAATTCAATAGTAATGCTATAATGGGCACCTTTTGTAAAGAAGCTTTGAAACAATAATTACTGTGAAAAGTGCTATTCCAGGGGTGATCAAACTCTGTCCTTGAGGGCCGTTGTCCTGCAGATTTTAGCTACAACTTTCTAAAAAGCCTAGTAAGAGCTTGATTTGCTAGCCCAGGTGTTTTTGATTGAGGTTGGATCTTAACTTTGCAGGACACCAGCTCTCCAGGACCGAGTTTGGGCACCACTGCGCTATACAAATAAACAAGAATTGAATTGAATTAATATAATAAAATGAAGAAATTAGCATTTGATTGAATTCAATTAAGTAATAAAATATATGTACATTTATTTTTAAAAGTATGACACTGCAACAATAGAAATAGAAAACATTGCAAGAATAGGGTAAACAAATCAAATAGTAAAGATATTACATTCTATAAACAATTTAAACTGTAATTTAGATGTACAAATGTCATTAAAATCAATATGTTTGCAACAGTAAAAAAAATGAATTATTAAATGAATATGAATTATTTTTATTTCATGACATTAGAACAATAGAAAGCATTGCAGGAGCACACATACATTTCTATTTATAATGTTTTGTTTGTGTGTTTGTCTTCAGGCACTTCCCGTGGTTACTCTCCCTCCTGTTCAGAAACACAGAGGTCCATCTTTAGTGATGCCAGTCACCTCTCTGCCAATCAGATTCACAGTACAGCCGTCAGGAGATGTACAGACAGCTCTCAGCCCCGCCCACACAGCCTCAGTAGTTCTTTGGGTATGCTTCTGTCTCTCATTCTGATATTTTATTCACCAAATTCTTCAACTAAAAACATCTTTTCTGTTTTCTTTGATCTCCAGGAACAGCATTTGGTTCACTATCCTCAGAGTCTCCATCCTGCTGTGCTTTGACTGGAGAGGAGTGTTTGATTTGCTGTGATAGGCCGGTGGACTCAGTGCTGTATGCTTGCGGACACATGTGTGTGTGCTCCGACTGTGGTGTGAAGCTGACGGAGACGTCCAACCCATCCTGCCCTGTGTGTCGCAGCCCTATCAGAGACATCATTAAAATATACCGCAGCATGTGACCTGGCAGGCATCACTCCAAAATACTGCTTACTAAATCTGGAAGGTTCTAAGGAGGCAAAGGTCAGTGTCCTGGTTGAGAAATGCTTCTCAAGTCCATTAAAAAGCTGCTTGAGCTCAGCAAGAGGCGTTAAAGGACTGTTTTATTTACTAAGCATCTGACCAAAAATGCTGAAAAAACTTGGGAGTGACTGTGTTCATATGATATGATGTGCTTATGGCACTATGTTAATACTGTATATGTCATGACTTTAATATCTGATTCTGTAAATATGTATTAAGATATGACTAGATGTGAATAATGGGAAATCTGGTATTACTGTTACACTAATACTGATTTCAGTTTGCTACAGTTTCCCCCACAGTCCAGACATGCAATATAGGTAAATTGGATAAACAAAATTGGCCATAGTAAATGAGTGTATGTGTGAATGATAGAGTGTGTTCATTCTGCTGTGGTGATCCCTGTTAAATAAGGGCCTAAACTGAAGTAAAATGAATGATTTCAGGGTTTTTTTTGTAACTTCTTACAGAACTGTTCCACCATCTAATAACATTTAAACGAAAATTAGTTTCTTTCACTTGTATAGCAATCTGAAGTCAGAATGCATTGTGGGTTTGATGTGTTGCCAAATATTTGCAGTTTTTTGCAAAACAAAACACTGAAAAAAACACAAATTTGCTTTTACACACCTACATTATATCCGCAACATTGTACTGTAAGTGTCAGTAACTTTTGTTTAACTATGTGGAATAAAGCTGTAATTATAATGATACCCATCACAGAGCTTCTAGTTATTTTTGTGACTATGTACACATATATTCACATTTTAATTGGCATTTGTAATTTGTAGGAAAAAAAACTTTAGTGACAGCCTATATATATACAGTTGAAGTCAGAATTCTTAGTCCCCCTTTGATTTTTTTTCTTCTTCTTTTTTTAAATAAATATACTGTGGAAAAGTCTTATTTGTTTTAATTCAGCTAAAATAAAAGCAATTTTAATTTTCTAATTATCATTTTAGGGTCAAAAATAATTGCCCCTTTAAGTTATACATATTTGTGATTAATATTTAATAACTTGCCTAATTACCCTAACCTGCCTAGTTAACCTAATTAACCTAGTTAAGCCTTCAAATTTCACTGTAAGCTGTATAGAAGTGTCTTGAAAAATATCTAGTAAAATATTATTTACTGTCATCATGGGAAAGATAAAATAAATCAGTTATTAGAAATGAGTTATTAAAACTATTATGTTTGGAAATGGAAAAATCTTCTCTCCATTAAGTATATGCATATATGGTTCTTGAATCTGATTGGCTGATAGGTGTGCGATAGCCATGCAATATTCTGCAAGTAACAGCACTCCTACAGCCTCTTCACCTTTGTGTGTTACTACACACACATACAGCACAACAAGCTGAGGACACTCTACAGTCTACAAATATTGCTGCTGTTGGGCAACATAATGTACTTTCGAAGCTTTTTTAGTTATGAATGTAGTTGTTTAGATTGCATATACGGTTATATATAAGATAGTGCCTATTTTAAAATATTTATAATTGTGGAGCATTAAGTTCAGCACATCGGCCGCCATCAGCTTGTCTGAGCAGAAATAAAAGTGACAGTTGACATTTCACCACAAGATGGCGACAGAGACAGCATAATAAGTCTTTAGGGAAGAAAAACAGCATTTTCTCTGCGTAAATTTCCAACTACAGCTAAACTAATCATTATAAATCAGGTAAGTGACATTCTAAGTTGAGCTCTCTCTTTTGTGTTTTTTTAGTGCTGTATTTATGCCACTGGAACTGGTTGTGTTTGTGATTGCAACAGAGAAATACTGTGAAATCTCTGTAGATTGATGGTATTTCATGCCGTTCAGCCTTATAATCTTAAAATGTGAGCAAAAATGACCTGTTTTGTCATCTCTTTAGACATTGCCAATGGTTTCTGCTGTTCTGACTGTCAGCTGCAGATGTGAAGGAAGAAAGTAGTTTCTTGTACAAAAGGGTTTTTAAGACTCTTTGCATTTGATTTTCTTTTTATATACACGATTATGCCGTCGAACTGTTGTGTAAGCACAATATCACACTCGTAGCAGAGTGAAATGGCTGTATAGTGTCTGGTGGAACACTAAGGCTCTCAGTCTGCGGCATCAAGCCAACACACGCTCCCACCAGTGCCGATATACAGCCATATTGCACTGCTACTCGTGTGATATTGCTCATATACAGTTAGATCCATAAATATTTGGACATTGACACAATTCTAACATTTTTGCCTCTTTACACCAACACAATTGATTTGAAATTAAACGAATACCCTCAGATTAAAGCTGACAGTCTGCAGTTAAAGTACATCTTGTTCGTTTCATTTCAAATACATTGTGTTGGTGTTTAGAGCCAAAAATGTTAGAATTGTGTCAATGTCCAAATATTTATGGATCAAGCTGTATATAATTCAGTATAATGTACAATACAAATATACACTTGAGTCTTGGTATATTCAGAATTTCACTTTAATTACACAAAGAAATTACCTGATAGATAGATAGATAGATAGATAGATAGATAGATAGATAGATAGATAGATAGATAGATAGATAGATAGATAGATAGATAGATAGATAGATAGATAGATAGATAGATAGATAGATAGATAGATAGATAGATAGATAGATAGATAGATAGATAGATAGATAAAAGTGCATCTAGTCAGTAAACAAACCTTGATATATTTGAGTAAAAACAGTCATTTTATAAGAAAAGTGATGCTGCATATTAAGAGCATCTAAGCACAACAACTAAAAACAGTGTTCAGTGACAATAACATCACATCATCCAGCACAAGCAGGAGTATACAGCATATTAACACGGTGTCAATCAACAAGAAAATGCACTTGTCACCTAAGGTGCTTTAACACTGGCAGTTTAGTTAGAAATGCTGTGGCGTACATGGAAAAAGTAATTATGTGAATACAGTCATGAGGATCCAGGAGCACACTGAGATAGCAGACCCTGTGGAAGGTGGTCTGAGTTTGGTTGCACTATGGCCTGATCCAAATGGCTGCACACCTGTCAGGGAAATAAATTACCCTGTGCATGCGTTTTAGCCAATTATGATATCATTTGTTCATTAAGACACGTGTAGGGAACGTTTAATCTTGAATACAAGCATGGGTGAGCTTGCAGAGTGTTTGCATTAAAGGGATAGTTCACCCAAAAATGGATGAACTTTAAGTTTTTTTCTATTGAACACAAATGTTATTTTGAAGAATGCTGGTTGCTGACAGCTATTGACTTCCATAGTAGAATTCAATGGGTGTTAGCAACCAGAAATCTTCAAAATATCCATTGTGTTCAAATAGGTTTTGAACAAGTGAAGGGTGAGTAAATGATTGCAGCATTTTTATTTTTGGGTGAACTATCCCTTTCACTGTGCGTTCACACCAAATATTGACACTCTTGCTGCCGGAGCTGTGAAAGCAGACAGCGTTGTCACCAGGGCGGTCAGAGCGAACTTTGACTGCATCAAAATTCGCTACATTGATCTCGTATTTAAAGGGGTTGTTGCAGCATATCAGCAAATCACTTACATTTCCACTTAAAAATGTGCTTTATAGTGTGACAATGTCGCTCGCCTTTTATCAAATTCATTTAACTATGGAACATCAAGTTGTTGCGTGTGGTGTGGCTTTGCTCCACATATCCAATATGTCCATATGTCTGAAATATTCTGAAGCAGCAATATTGTTTTGTACTGTTGTTAGTTAGCAAAAAACAACCGCCAAACGCCGCCTTCGTTGTGAACACACAGTAAGAGTTGTAAGTTAGAAGCTTGCAAACCAAAAAAAAGGTTGTGAGCCTCTGTACATGTAATGCACATATATGGGGGCTTTTACCAGAAGACATTTATAGGAACTTGGTCATAGGGACTAGCCACCAGTTCCGGTTCCCTGAGAACTATTTTTCCCCTGACCATTTTCCTGGTTGTATTTACCATCACTATAAACTCTGAAAAGTGACAAGTCAGCTGACAGTGACATCCCAGCAAGCATTTTTTTGTTTTAAAAAGATGTCTAACGGATGTCTAATAGATGTCTAAACATAACTAAAACAAGGCTAAATTTGGGCTGTCAGTGAAAATCGAATAGACGTCTAAGAATAGGCCAAAACTAGACTAGTCATCAAATGAACAGGAATGAATGACTACACATATAAAGTCTGTCTAATCTGTCTTGTTTTAGCCAAGCTGTCTACATTTAGATGTCTTTTAAACACAAAATCGTTTGCTGGGATCTTGCACTGCAAAACAAATAACAGTTTTGCCGTTGTTTCATATGGGGTGCATTTGGCCAGTCAACATAAACTTATGTCACTGGTAGTTATACTCTGTAGGAGTGAATTTAGTTCCCCCCAAAGAAGTGTTCCTAGAACTAAAATTGTTCTAATTGTTGCTGTGTTGTTGTAAAGGCAATTGTTGCAGATTTTCTGCACATGATAGCACCAAATGAATTGAATAACAATAAAAAACACAAAATAATCACCCAAAAGATTCCTATCATGCAGCAAGCATGTTTCAAGTTGATAAACAAATGAATGCAAATGCACCAAGTTAAAGTGAAACCACACCGATATTGTAGCAGGCACCAGGAACTACTGCACTTGAACAGCAATAAACATGCTCAGTGTGAAAACCCTCTATTTGTGTTCCCTTTGACAGCTTGAAGCAAGATATCTCACATGAATCTTGATGTTTTTATTGGCGTCAAGCTCAAGACAGACTGTGGTTGGATAACTAGTTCTAGCACCTTTTTTTGGTTTCAGATGGCACTAACTCTTCCTCTCTAGAAAGTTGGATGGCACCCATCCTTTGCGTGTTTTAGTTGTGTCAAGCACACGGCAATACCACCATCCATTAGGGTTTCTCTCTAAGACCTCCAGCCTTGTACCAGCAGGGAAGCTCATGGTCTCCGCATCGCCTCGATAATCGGCAATAGAAACGTACTCCTCACGCAAGTTGTTGTGGATCAAATGAGGTTTGGGCTTCACCATTGAGACCGGAACCTTCCGCCTCATGCTCTCAGTATTACCTGCATGAGAAGAAGAGCTTTGATCATTGTAGCTGACGAGTGAAGAATGACTTGGCAGTGTGTCGTTCCTCCGTCCCGCGGGGGCTGCATGTGCATTAGTGTTGTCTTTAAGGACGTTCTGAGGCCTGACGGCAAGCTGCTTCACTCCGACCCTTGAGTTAGATCGAAGTCCACCCTTCAAGCTTTGGTTTACACGCTGCTCATTTTTCTCCAGACTTACAGATTTACCCATTTTCCCAACATCTACCTGCACCGAAATCTCCAATTCCGGAGAAGCAGACCAAGATAACTCTGAATTGATCTTCTCTGTGGTCTTGGCTTCTGGGCTGCTTGTTTCAGAGCTGCTTTTGATTGGCTGTAGGTAGTAAGTAGGAGCCCAGCCCTCCTCATTCCCCCAGCGGACAAACCACCAGCCGCTCTCCTTCTTCTCCACGACCTCCACCTGCACTCCTGCTGGAAAGCTGAGCTCACACGGCTCTTCTTGCTGGTACGCTGCTGTAGTACGGTACAGGAATGAAGACGAATCTGACAAGCAGCTCTGGAAGTCATCCGACAAACCAGTATCAGACTCTTCTGATGTTCGGGAGGTCCTGAATTGCATGTGACTTGGCTGTTCCTGGTTTTGAGGTTTTCTGAGAGAACTACAGTCTTGGTTTGTGGGTTTTGGACGTACGGATGGTTTGGATTTTGACTCATCAGCCTGCTGTTTGAGTTTAGGTTGGTTTGATTGTGCGTAGAGAGTTGTATTGGTTTCAAAACTGGGTTCGATCGTTGGGGCGTCATATTCTGGTGGATCCCACATAGATGCCCGGTGAGCCGAAGAGGGAGAGTGGTTATCCTTACAATGAGGTACAGCTCTGAAGCCACCATTAGCATATACACCCTCATCATCCTCTTCATCGCCCAGTGTAAAGGAAATTGTACGCTGACACAAAGGTGGAGTCGCTTTAGTCGGTGCGTCGCTTGGGAAAAAATCCAGATCAGGGTCAAACTCAAAGCCTATGGTTGGGACGTCATATTCTGGCTCTTCATACACTCGAGGATATGTTGTGGTCATGATTTCGGACTCAACACATGGAAGCGAGTTCTGCTTTTTGATTGGAGGAGCAGGAGGTGGGACCTTGGGCCGGGTCAGTGTGCTGGTTTGACGGTTCAAGGTGGGCTTCTTGCGTTTGTCTATATATGAACACGGAGCCCAACCCTCCTTCTCACCAATCTGGACGTACCACCAGCCCCCAGAGTTCTTCTCAATGACCTGTGAACATATACAGTGTTTAGGTCATGCTTGCAAGTGTTGTTTGCATCTAAAAATTTAGTTATCACACTTATTTATCACAATATTTCTGGATAACAATTGTACTATATTACAGGTTGTTATAATCTATCTATCTATATATATACACAATTTAAATTATAAAAATTCATATAAAATGCCAATTTTTATTTTTTATAAATGCCAATTATCTCTACCAGCATTTCTACAATACCATAAGTAAATTTGATGTAGTCCAAATGCTCACCAAGCCTGCATTTAATTAATTAAGAATATAGAAATGCCATAAAACAGTAATTTTTAACTTCTAATATAATTATTTTCTTATAATTGTCAGTCAAAAAATTGTTGCACTATTCAATATATTTGTGGAAAATGTATGTTTTTTACAGAATTATTTGATAAAAAGTAAAGAAACCCTGCTTAGAAATAGAATTAAACCTTTACTAAAACCTCGCTGAACAAAAGGATTTAGTATTTAGTAAGTAGGTCAAATTTAGACAACTAAACCCAGACTTTTGTACCGCAGAGTATTAAACTATCATTTAAATAATGTTAAATGAATGAGGTGCTGTACGTCTGCTCTTTGTCCTCCGCTGAAGCTGATGCCGTCGGTCAGGCAGGAGCGAAACTCCGCGATGGTGTAATACTCCGCTTCAACAGTAGGGGGATCCGGCGGCTGCGGCAGCTGAAAACCCTGAAGCACAACAGCAGATAAATATGCTGCTCAGCACTATTACAAACCACAGACTGACCTATTTGTGTGTTTGTGATGGAGAGAGAGAAATTCAGAGAAAGGAGAAAATGAGAAGGACGCACTGACCAGGCTGTTTTCACGACGGGGAGGCGGTTTAAGATTGTTTGATGGTGGTTCTGGATTGAAGGGGAAACAAATTGAAAAATAATGTTTAATTGCTTTACATAAGGAAGAAGAGTCAAACAAGAAACAAAATAAGAGAAAAAATAGAAAGGACATGTACAAGAGATGAAACTAAAAGAAGGAGAAAGGGGAAAACTAAAACTAAAATTCAATAAAAAGAAAAAAAATCAGAAAAGTAAGAAATTAAAAATGGAAAACAAAAAAGTTGTGAGAAATAAAAACTGAGAATTAAACTAAAGAAACTCAGAAAAGAAAAGAAAAACATTTAAAAATAAAAAGGTGTATATTAATGAAGATGAAACTAAATAGAAGAAAAAATAAATAATGTCAATAAAAAAGAAAAAGCAAAAACTGACTTTAAAGAAAAAGAAATGAAAATGTAAATAAAAAGAGAAAGAACAAAAATGACAAATGAGGAGAAAGGAATTAAAAAGAAACACAACTGAAAAAATACATTTTAAAAAGAAATAGAAAAGTAAAAGTGGAAAAAATAACAAAAACAGGAAAAACTAAAGAAATTAAAATACAAATATTAAATGAAAATAGAAAAAGAAAAAAAAATAAGGAACAATGGGGAAAACAAAAACGAATCCACCCGCACCACATCAAAATAAGGAAAAAAGAAATATAAGATAAAATGAAAAAAGGAGGGAAAAAACAGAAACAAAAACTACTTCACCCCCATCCCACCAAAAAAGGAAAAAAATAAATGAAAAAGTAAAAAGAAAGAAGAAATGTAAATAAACACTGTGGGAAAACACAAACTACGTCAGCCCAACCACAACAAAACAAGGAAAAAAGAAGTTAAAAGTAAATAGAAAGAACATTAAAAAAGTTAAATTAAAATTAAAAAAGGAAGAAAAAAATAAGCAAAAATGGGGAAACAAAAACTACTTCACCCCCACCACAGCAAAAAAGATAAAAAATAAATGAAAAGTAAAATGAAAGAAAAAATGTAAATGACAAAAAGTAAATAAATAAATAAATAAATAATAATGATAATGGAACAAACAAAAACTAATCCACCACCACCCCAACACAAAAAAGCTAATAATAAATGAAAAGTACAAGAGAAATTTAAATAAGCATTAAGGAAGTAAAAAAAAATCCAAAACTGCATGTATGGAATGAAAGTAGTGTTGACTCTCACTGTTCTCGACGCTGTGGAATCTCTGCGGGGCGACTCGTGCAATAGCAGGGGACGCAGGGACAGTTTTGGCCTTAAATGAGGACACAGTTGAAGAAACACAGAGCTCAGTTGCTACAGCAGAAACACAAGCGTCTGACACAGACACAGACCCGCTGCTGTCTGAGACACTGGTTTCAATGTGTGTCTTGATCTGATCCTCAGAGTCTCTCTCTGTGTTGACTTCAGTCTGATCTTCATCACCGCTGTACTGAGTGTACGAGTCCGTCTGTGAGTTTCTGTATGTGTTTGCTGAGTGGCTGTCAGTTTGTGTGTGTGAATGGCGTTCATTAGCTGGTTTCTTATTCAGGAGGTTGCTGATCTCCATCAGGTTCCCGATGATTTCCACCTGGCCCTGAACAGATGCTTTATTTGACTCTGCTGGCTGGTTACTGGCTGTGACGCCATCTTGGATTTTCTTTAGGTAGGCAGCAGGAGCCCATCCTTCCTTACCGCCATAACTACAACACAGATGATACACATCATTCTTCAGGTAAGCAAGCAGATTTGTTTTTCTATTGTTCAAAAGTTTTGGGGTCAGTAAGATTGATTAATTCATTCGTTTGCTTTGAATTACTGATTGTTTGAATAATGTAACATTTTTATTATACAATGATGCATTGAATTGGTCAAAATGACTGTAATTTTTCAATTCAATCCAGCTTTTTTTGTATAGCGCTTTTACAATGTAGATTGTATCAAAGCAGCCTCACATAAATGGTCATAGTAACTGTAAAGACATCTGTGATGTTTTAAAGTTTTTTGTTTTAAATGTTTTATTCATAGACCAGAATGATCTGACACTGAAGAGTAATGTGTATGGAAAATTCACGCTTGCCTTTAATAATATCTCATAACATTGCTAATTGTATTGTCTTTTTAAATAAAATAAAAGAATTCTATTAACTCTATGCACTGATGAACTCAGAATTTCATTCCATATATTCAAATTTTCATTATATTCAAGTTTCAATCCATATATACAAACTTGTATTTCATATATTCAGACATTCATTCTATAAATTCAAGTTTAGCTTAATTCCATAAGTTCAAAACTTTCTTGAATGTCATTCCTTAATAATAATAACATAATAACTATTTGTGTGTGTGTGTGTGCGTGTGTGTGTGTGTGTATGTGTGTGTGGGAGAGGGAGAGAGAGAGAAAGAGAGAGAGAGTGAGAGAGGTGGCTCAGTGGTTAGCACTGGTGCCTCACAGCAAGAAGGTCGCTGGTTCGAGTTCCAGCTGGGTCAGTAAGCATTTCTGTATGGAGTTTGCTTGTTTTCCCTGTGTTGGTGTGGGTTTCCTCAGGTACTCCAGTTTCCCATACAGGCCAAAAACATGCGCTATGGGTGAATTGCATAAACTAATTAAAGAAAGCCTGGCAAGGCTGCCCTTTGTCACCAATTCTGTTCATAATTTTTATGGACAGAATTTCAAAGTGCAGCCTTGGGCTGGAGGGGGACCACTGAATCTCATCTGTTATTTGCAGACGATGTTGTTCTGATGGCGTAATCGAACATGGACCTTCAGCATGCACTTCGGCGGTTTGCTGCCGAGTGTGAAATGGCTGGGATGAGAATCAGCACCTCCAAGTATTAGGCCATGGCGCTCCTCCAGAAAAAAAATGGTTTGCCATCTCCAGGTTGGAGGAAAGTCCTTATCCCAGATGGAGGAGTTCAAGTATCTTGGGGTTTGTTCATGAGTAAGGGAAGGATGGAACGTGAGATTGACAGGCGGATTGGTGCAGCGGCAGCAGTAATGTATCGGTGCATTGTGGTGAAGAAGGAGCTGTGCCAAAAGGCAAAGCTCTCGATTTACCAGTCAATCTACATTCCTACTCTTACCTATGGTCATGAGCTATGAGTCATGACCAAAAGGACAAGATCTCAGATACAAGCGACCGAAATGAGTTTCTTTTGCAGGGTGGCAGGGTGCACCCTTATAGATGGAGCTCTGTTACCCGGGAGGAGCTCGAAGTAGAGCTGCTGCTCCTCCATATTTTGAGAAGTCAGCTGAGGTGGCTCAGGCATCTGTTTTGGATGTGGTGTTCCAGGCATGACCCACCGTGAGGAGGCCTCGGGTAAGACCCAGAACACGGTGGAGGTACCATGCCTCTCGGCTGGCCTGGGAATGCCTCGGATCACCCCGTAGGAGCTGGAGGAAGTGTCTGGGGAAAGGAAAGTCTGGAGTTCTTTCTTAAGACTGCTGCCCCCACGATAAGCTGACGAAAATGAGATGAGATGAAATTGGTCATAGTGTATGTGTGTGTATAGTGTTTCACTGTACTGGGTTGCAGCTGGAAGGGCATCCGCTGTGTAAAACATATTCTGGATAAGTTGGTGATTAATTCTGCTGTGGCGACCCCTGATGAATAAAGGGACTAAGCTGAAGGAGAAATAAATGAATGAATGAATGAATGAGTGTAGTGTAAATAGTAATTTTCAAAACTGTTATGGGCCCTTTTCACAATTTGGTGTTGTTTTAATGGTCATCAGCATCTTAAATCCTTTAAACTTTTAAATATTTAGATTTTTTTCAATTGAAGATTTTAGATTTTGAACTATATACAAGCACGAGATCCACCTAACGGAAAGTTAGTGTAATAATAGTGTAATAGTGTAATAAAAGGTGCAAAATCAGGATTGAAACATATCTGATATTTAGATTTTTTTATTAAATATATGTACATTTAACGCATATGCTAAGTTATATCATCTTTGCATCAAGTTACTAAATCACTAGTTCCCGGTTATGCGAGGTGTTTTTAATTCAGTGTATAGGTGGGAAAGTAAATTTGATATTGTTCTTACTTCTATCTGCCGTTATTAGTCTCACACTTTTTCAGACTTTTTTAAAGTTATGATAACATCATCAGGCAGTCTTTCTTTAGTCTTTTTAGCAGATTTGAATGCAAAAATCTATCCGTGATACTCTCCCATTCTCTGCTCTCTAGGTTTACCCAACTATGATGATTTCCTCTGCTGAGAAACCCAAAAATATGAGTCTATCATTGGGTTTTTTAACGTATTTTATTTAACTAACTATTTATTCACAGTTAAAACCAAATTGATTCCAAAATACAAAAAAAAAAAAATCAGAATTCATCTTGCATTTGCCTAGTACAATATTTTCTATCCTCTAAGGATGAAAGAGGTTTAAAAAGAGCTAAAACAAATGACCACAACATTAAGTGAAAATGAGTGCCTTTCCAGCCATTTACTTCGCTGACTGTTTATTTAACAAAGCTTTAAATCGCTTTTATTCCTGCAAAACCCATTAAATACTGAGTAAATTCCAGCAAAGCGTGTTAAAGGAGCTCATCGTGAAGAATAAACATGTGGAGGAAGAGTTTACCGTATGAACCACCAGCCCTCCAGATTCCTCTGAATGACCTCAACAATGACGCCGCTCTCGAAGCCAAGCTCATCCTGACTCGAGCTGCTGAACGGCTGCACTGTAATATACCACTCTGCTGCAAAGAAATAAGGCACGTCAATAACAGTAGACACACAAATGGAATATGAAGACTTAGAAAAAGAAAGTTAGCACAACTCTAAATATGTCTAGAAATATCTAAATAGATTTAAATGCTGTCACATTTATCATTTTAATTGAGTTTATGCAAATATCAAAGACGTTTCATCTGTTACATGCACTTTTTCTTGACATTAACACTTTGAGTCATTGCATTAAAATAATGCACTAATTCAGCATTAAAGGAGACCTATTATGCCCTTTTTTACAAGATGTAAAATAAGTTTCTGATGTCCCTAGAGCAGAGATGCCCAAACTAAGGCCAAAGTTGCCCGTGGTAACCTTTGATTTGTCCCGCCATCCTATCTGAGAATAATAGGGATGGTTCAGAGACTGTAAATTCAAATTTAATGTTCCCTTTGTTTGTTTGTTTTATTGTGAAAAAGCTAACTGAAATGTAATGCTTCAATGAATTGGTGTACATTAATCAGATTTTGTTTAAATGTACTGTCACCCGACAATGCACTTTGGTAGGCAAATCAAGGCAAAGGCAGATTCTGCTTGACCTGTGTATTCAGCATTAAACTCCAATGTGTTATATTGTTATAAGTTATCATTTTAAAAGTTAGCCTGCATTAGATAATATTATTTTAAGTAATATTTCTATTTGTTTTGAAATATTTAATGTAAGATAGTTTTGTATAGTTATGTTTTTCCTATGGATCTAAATGATATTTGGTCTTTGGCTCTTCATACAAAAAAGTTTGGGCACTCCTGCCCTTGTGTGTGTACTTGACGTTTCAGCTCAAAATACCCCACATATAATGTTTAATAACTCTTGAAAACCGGCTTCTTTTAGGCTTTGCTCCTAATTGTGCCTTTTTGACGACTGTCCCTTTCAAATTTAAATGAGATTGTGCTCTTAGTCCATTTTTCAAAAGAGGGCGGAGCTACAAATGCCCCTGTTGCAGCATAGTGGCAGATTTAAATACAAAGCATGCTAATGAGGGAGAGATCATCACTAATAATAGGTGGGGCTTTTCCCCTCCAATGACATGAAGAATGACAAACAAAGTGTTTCTGTAGACTGTTTATGAAGTGTAATTATAAAGAAATAATAATTATTACTTTTTTACCCTAAGAAGGTGGTTATATTCACAGATTGTCGCCACACAACTGTTCAAACCCCTTACAAAGGTGATTTTTGCATAATACAGTAGGTCTCCTTTAATTCAAATCAATCTGGCAAATTTGTAAATAACATTAATACAGGAGTGGAAATAAATTTGGTGAAAAAAAGTTAGTTAGAGAACTAAAGTGTTCCACTTTAGTCCTTCCACACTAAAGTGTTCCACTTTTTTAGGTTAAGTGTTGAGTTTTTAAAAGAGGCTACATTGTGATATCATTTCAAGATTACTATTAACCAGCTGCTCTGGGGTCAGTGGATGAAGTTGATTTACACTGTGAGGTTCATCATAACAATTATGAACATGCTTCACTGATGTCAGACAACCAGGAACTTTTGCTTTCATTTTGAACTTTTTTGAAAACATCAGTGTGCTATATTTTAGTCTTAAAAATGTATTGATATTTTGTTCTTTAAGGCTGCATTCACATGTTCTTACATGGTCATTTTTTTGTGCTGTTTACATGTATTATTCACTAACATTAATGTATTTTATTTTAAAGATCAGAACTTATCTATTTTGGGCTCTAATTAGGACATGATGAGCATATGAAGCTTTATGCTGTGTTGCAAGCAATAAAACTGCTATTCCTGTGGCCAAAACAAGCCGTTTGTGGCTAAGAGCACTAATCAGATGTTGTTTTGCTTCACAAGCAAGGACAGTTTTAGAGTATCACGACAGTCATTTTTGACACTTTATTCTACAAAACAACAGCTCATTCCAAATTTCACACCATTACACCATTTCAACTGTATGTCATTACACATGCAGTACTAGTTCAAATTGAAATTACTGTCAATTCTGTTACTAGCAGATTATTTGGTTGCATGTAAACTACAGTATGAAAATTAATGTTGCGTTAGGCTATGTATTGTGTTGTGTATTAAGCTAAATAATTTCTGCAGAAGTCACACGTGTTCATACATACAAAAATTGTGGTTGGTTGTATAGATGCACAATCAACTTGCTCTCAAATTGTTCACAGATCAGCTTTGTCTGTTCTAAAATGGCTTATGTTTATGTTAGGGATACGCCGATGTATCGGCCTCCGATATTTTTCGTCCAATACTGGATAAATTTAAAGCTATCTGCCTCAGCAATAAAGTGATAAAAAGGCTGATACTGATGGTAAATAATTACACAGAGGCAGTGTGTTGTCTTGTTGTAAAATATTGTCTTTTGAATAATGCAGCATTTTCTCAGAGCAAAAAAGAAACTGTAGATGTGCAAAATGTCAGATGTGCATCAGGAAAGCAGCTGGTGTGCAGTTGGCATGCTCAAGAGCTGGCACAAAACACTAAGTTTGGGCTAAAACATCTCGGAAAATAACAGAAACTGCCTGCAGTTTAGTGAGTGAATATTTTTCTGGAGCAACACAATTCATAATGTACATATATTATAGAAACACTCTTTAATTGTTAAGTTTATTAAATAAATATGTTTTAGTATATCTCAAATAAAAAGTTTCTGTGGTTAAGAAAATATTGAATAGCAAAATCACTGTCATATTGTAAGTTCTCTTAAAATGGTAAACAGTTGACTGTTGAATGCATCTAATCTATATTCAGTAAAATTAATTTAATGTAGGGGATTTTTTTTTTTTTTTTGCTTGTTTGAATCGGTATTGGCCAAAAAAACTGTCCTATTGTTGCATCCCTACACTAATAACGATTTTTGCAAATAACACAGTATTTAAATGTAACAAGAACTGTATTTTACTGTAAGACATTTATGTGGTATGTTACTGTATTTTCAAGTTGCATTATAAAAATTATTGTATATTTTACAGTAAAGATATACATAGACCTTTAAATGCATATACAGCAAAATAAATGGTGCTGTAAATGTAAGTTCAGTATTTTTGCTGTAATTAATTTACAGTAAGTTACTGGCAAAATGTAGATTCTATAGATTCTACTGAAAATTGTTAACAGTGTATTTTTTTAGAAACAGCCACTAATGAGGCACCTGAATGTCTATTTGATAGAAACTAGAATACTGTCTATATGAACAAGAACTCAATTCTATATTTTACCAGTGAATATTATGCCAATATAAATCCTTAAAAGAATGTGTTTACCTCAATGAATCAAATATTTCAAGCAGCTTCGAGATGACCGATTCACCAATGATCAAATTCTACCAACCTAATTTCACCAAGGAGGACATGTTCCTGGGTTAACATCTATGTTGATCCTGGAATAATATTTTAATCAGCCAATCAGAATTAAGGCATACGCTTACCGCTTATATATTAAATTTAGGCTTACGGTTAGGTTTATACGCTACATGAATGTTATCCAACTATTATTCCCCTTTGATTTTAAGAAACATTTACAGTTATGGTTGGGTTTTGGTGTAGGGAATTGGTATGAATTACATTTTCCAACAAAAATTATGTTCCAGGATCAACACAGATGTTAATTTAGCATTGCATCGTAAATTCTACCACAAATTCTGTCACGTTTCTGTTTTATTTTGATTTCTTTTATATTTTGGGAAAACTTTTAATACTTTTACATCCTTTTTTAACAAGCTTAAAGATCTCTATTCACTGGAGACAAGCACAATCTTTTTGTGGTACAAAGAAAATCCTTTTTTGATAAACTACCACTGTAGTGTGCCGTAATATAAGTGAAAAAAACTCACTGGTTCTCTTTATGCTATGCTTGTCCATTTAGTTTGTTTGCTATTTTGGTGTAGCGCTGGAAAACCAAACCAAACATGCAGACGCTGCAGAAGCTCTCAACCACAAGTCAAACTCTCTCTGTAATATGGGTCAGTGTGTGCAGGACTCAGTTGTACAGTAAATGTCTTCTGGACCCAGACATGGAAAATCTGACATCTTTGCAAGAATTTCCACTCCCAGGCAGTTAAATACTCCAAGTGTGTGTGTGTGTGTGTGTGTGTTTGTGTGAGTGTAGAGTGAGGGGGTCCCTTGGCTATGATGTGATGACTGTATGGTTTTCATCCGAGCAAGACTCTCTGTGCTGACATGGCATGAACTTGCATCCGTAGCAGAATTCGCCAACAGTTTTCATCCATAAATCTCATAAAGCAAATAAATGGATGCTAAGAGTTAAGCCTTGCGCAAGACAAAGCAAAACAGGACATTTGGACATTTTGCACAAGCCAGCAGCTCTGATATCTGTTGTGAAAGATGTGCTTTGTTTGCTCAACGGTTCTTGATTCAGTGCAGCCGCAGCATGAGAGATTAAATAGGTAGCTTAGCTTAGTGTATCTTAGACTTACTCTCTCCGTTCGGTGCTCGATGGCTATCTCGACGTCCTGTGAGAGAGACTAGATATGTTGCAGGAACCCAGCCTTGTTCTTCAGCTGTTCTTACAAACCACCACCCTAAAGAGAGAAGGAGAGCCAGTGAGCACATACCACTCATCTAACTCATTCCAGCTGTTCAGTTCAACTGGGTCACATCCTCGCTGTCTTAATGGGTTAACTAGTCCTACCTCAAGATAAACACATATTTCACTGGCAATGTTGTTTTTAGGGAAAAGAGATTTGGTTCAATAGTGATTTACGAATGTGAAGCAACTATTTTCCTTTAGGTGAATAGAAAGGTAGAAATAGATAAAAATAAATTTCTTGGCATGCAGTACATCAACTACATATACTCTAGACCATTTTGAGTGATGTAAACAAAAACAATGGTCCCAACCTATTTAGATTTACAGTATAATATCTATAGCTTTCAAGAATCCAAAAAGAGCCACATATTCATAAATAATGTTATGATAGCTGTTTTAACATTAAGTTATGATTGAATTGCCTCTTGTTACAGTTAAGAAATTGTTTGATAACAAGCAGGAAATGTTCAATGACCGGATCTCACTGAAATGGTCCATGGGATATGTTACATTAAAAGGAAAGTTTACCAAACGCTTCCAAGCCAAGCCTGAGATTCTTTCTTCTGTTGAACACTTGAAGAAGATGTTTTAAAGAAAGCTGAAAACCTGCAACCATTTAATTCCATAGTAGGTAAAACAAATATGAAAGTCAATGGTTGCAGGTTTTCGGCTTTCTTCAAAATATCTTCTTTGTGTACAGCAGAAGAAAGAAAAATTGAACGTGCTTATGAAGTCTGCATGTATTTGATGAAAAAAAAGGTTTTTTTTTTTTTTCAAAATGTAATGTATTCCTGTAATAGCAAAGATACATTTTCAGTAATCATTACTAGTCTTTAGTGTCGATTGATCTAAAGATTTATTTTATGATCTAAGAGAGAGAATTATGATAGACTACCTGTCAAAAAGTTTGATGGATTGTAGCCCCGCCCCCTAAGGCGGGACTTCCGGTCTAAGCCCCGCCCCTTTTATATAAACTTTATAGTTCCGGTAATTAGATTCTTATCGGTTTAATATAAAATAATAATTCCGGTAATTAGATTTTTATCGGGTTAATTAAATTATTGTTTCCGGTAATTAGATTTTTATCGGTTTAATATAAAATAATAGATGCGGTAATTAGATTTTTATCGTTTTAATTAAATTAATAGCCTATTTCCAGGTAATGAAAATATTGGTAATTAAATTCTAATCAAACTGAAATAAAATTATTATTATAATAATAATATCGGTAATTAAATTGCTGATATTAAAATCATTATTTAATTATTATATTATAATATAATTAATAAATTATTAGCTTATACTTTTCTCTATATCGTCTGTGTGTGTGTGTGTGTGTGTGTGTGTGTGTGTGTGTGTGTGTGTGTGTGTGTGTGTGTGTGTGTGTGTGTGTGTGTGTGTGTGTGTGTGTGAGAGAGAGATAATAAGTCTACAGGGCTGAAGAGTGAGAGGGGGCCTCATGATCATTGTTCATTAAGGCTTAAAGCACTCTATAAAAAATATATATCAGATAATTTATTATTAATAGTATTAATATTAGTATTAATATTATTATTATTACTTTATAGTGTTGCGTTTCACCATGATGTTCATTAGAAAGTAAGATAATTAACATGTGTTTTTATGTTTAACATATGTTTAACATATGTATAACATTAATATTATTGTTTATTATTCAAACTGAAATAAAATTAATATAATAATATCGGTAATTAAATTGTTGTTATTAAAATCATTATTTAATTATTATAATATAATTAATAAATTATTATCATATACTTTTCTCTATATCACCTATGTGTGTGTGTGTGTGTGTGTGTGTGTGTGTGTGTGTGTGTGTGTGTGTGTGTGTGTGTGACTGAAATAAAATTAATATAATAATATCGGTAATTAAATTGCTGTTATCAAAATCATTATTTAATTAATATATTATAATATAATTAATAAATTATTACCATATACTTTTCACTATATCACATATGTGTGTGTGTGTGTGTGTGTGTGTGTGTGTGTGTGTGTGTGTGTGTGTGTGTGTGTGTGTGTGTGTGTGTGTGTGTGAGAGAGAGAGATAATAAGTCTACAGGGCTGAAGAGTGAGAGGGGGCCTCATGATCATTGTTCATTAAGGCTTAAAGCACTCTATAGAAAATATATATCAGATAATTTATTATTAATAGTATTAATATTAGTATCAATATTATTATTATTACTTTATAGTGTAGCGTTTCAACATGATGTTCATTAGAAAGTAAGATAATTAACATTTGTTTTTATGTTTAACATATGTTTAACATATGTATAACATTAATATAATATATAATATAATAAACAATCAATAGGTAATAAGATGATTAACATACGGTTTTGTGTTTAACAATTATAACAGTATTATTATTGAATACAATATAACATAAAGATCAAACGGTAATAAGATTAAAATTTGTTTTTGTTTAACATTTATATAACATATTTACACAAATAATAGTTGTGAATACAACGTTTTATTGTATTAACTTTTAATAAAAATTGTATACTAATTTAATGTTATGTAATATAAGTATTTTTAATATTGGTAATAACAAAGACTATGATAATTATAAACAAAAATGTTAAAATATGAGATGTAAATATTCTATCACATTAATAAATTATTATTTTTTATCTTTCATCCAATTATATAGAATATGAATACAAATGTTATACAACAATATATATAATTTTTTAATTTTCATACACATACATAACTAAATAAAATATGTTTTATTATAATCTTTCAAAATGATAGTTATCTTGAGTATGAAATAATGTATGTTATAAATTTTAAACAGTCAAAATACCGAAAGAATTTTGTTTTTATAATTATAACAAATATCTACACCTAAAGCATTACACCAAGTTCATTTGTGTTTTTCAGTAAGATTAAAGTCATTAAATAATATTTGTATCATTACGTTTTAACTATCTATTAGATTGTTTATAGTTTCATATAATAAAGTATAATATTGACGTGGTCAACTTATTTCATTTTTGGGTGTACCTTATCGTTCTGAACCAGCTTTTAAACAAACGACAACGCCTCTTGACATTTGACATAAAAAGGGGGCCCCTTTACAGACCTTTTTCACAGTAAACTTGAATCCTCAGTTACACTGTTATAACGTCTGGAACTTCTGAAGAGGGTCAACTCTGCCACTTCTGAACAAGATATGGAATTGCGTGAGTAGAAATTAATATATTATTCATCTGGCTAGCGGTTTGTATACTACCTCATTAATCAGTGTTTGGTATATTTTCATTCTTGCAGCTTTTGTCTTACAGAAATAAATTCTTCCGAAAGTGACGCCTTTGATGCCATTAATCGTATTTGTAAGTATTATTACATAATTATATTTATTGTTTTGAACATATTTAGACAATAGTTTTTTATTTAATCGTTATTGTTACTTACGTTTCTCTTTTTCTTATAGCCTCTTCGGGTCACACGTTTGATAATCAAACGCAAAAAGGTATGCTTTTTATTTAAAACAAATTAAACTTTTTGATGTATAGTGGATTCGAACCTCCTGTTGCCAGAGGGCTCGGTCACCGGTCGAGTGCGCTAAGCATAGGCCACAGCGCTGACGGGTGTGTGATCACCATTGTTTAATGTAGGAATGAGTAATAACTAGCATTTATTTATTTTTGTCATTCACCTATTTTAGCGAGAATTGAAGTTATCGACTTGACGGTGGAAGAAGAAGAAGAAGAAAAGATTGCGGAGCAACAAGAATCATTGCGAGAAGAAAAGTTTGATGCAGCGTCGGGGGCTTCTGCCCCTAAGAGACCAAGAATTGTTTACACACCATATGTAAATAAAAGGCAAAAAATTTCTGAAACACCTGTGCAAGAAGAATGCGATACCAATGAGGATGATGATGAAGACGTAGAATCAGGTAATAACCTATTTTTGTTTGTTTGTTTCAATCACTTAATAACAGCCGTAACGTAATTAATTTCATATTTTCACACACACACACACACAGATCCATGGACACCTCTTGCTAGCCCACTAAGTCCTTATACCAGTCCATCAGAACCAAATCCTTCTGCTATTAATTTTAATTTATCTGAAGGTTAGTGATCCATTTATTTAATTGATTATGACAATATAATAAACATAATTACTGTTGAATGAAAACAAATGAATATTATTTTATTGTTAAGTATTATTTATATATTTATTAGTCAATACTAAACAATATTTTGATTTCTTTTTATTACAGATCCATGGTGCGAACAAGATGCTTTCAACAGTGGTCATCATGAATCAACTCAGGGAGGCGCACATCAGCCGATTTATCCCTTTCAAGCACCAGTAGAAGAAGAAGAAGAAGAAGAAGAAGAAGACGCGGAAGACGTCGAAAGACCACAGCGCCCCCAGCAGAATCAGGAGGCCGGAAGCGTCAGCAAACACAGCAATATCAAAGACTTTTACGAGTCGCCTGCTTATTGTCTGATTCGTGAATATCTAGACAGATATGAGGTAAAAATTAATGCTCTATCGGATTCTATTGACCAGCAGCAGCGTGTGATAGAAAATGTCAAGGATTTCTTGTCTGAGCAACAGCGACGTATGGATGAAAAAATTGGGGAGCTTCAACAATTGATGGGTAAAAGTGAACGGGGGCATCAATTAATAACGAAACTACTCATTTTTATTAGGCATTCATTGATGGATGAATAATTCCTATAATAAATATTCTCATCATCTGTACGATCATTCATCATTGTAGTACTTAAAAGACCATATTTTATACTCTGATAAATGCTATACTTTTCTTACGTTTCTAATTTTAATCGACTTTAGTTGTTTAGTGTTTTAACTTTAGATGTTGCTCTATATTCAATTTGTACTCCTTTGGCTTTCTTTTTATTACGAACTTAGTCATTTGTTTAGTGTTTGAGCTTTTAAAATTGATGTAATACAAATGTATTTTGATTCAACTTTACATTTTGATGTACTTTAAATTGATTTAACTGATAGTGTTTTAACATTTGATGTAATACAAAATCATTTTCAAGTTTTATTCTGCTAACATTTTGATGTACTCCAAATTGGCTTAAATGTTTAACTGTTGATCTATATTAAATGTTTATTCAATTGTGATTGTTTTATTGTGAACTTACTCATTTGTTTAGTGTATGAGTTTAAATTTGATGTAATACCGATGTATTTTAATTCAGTTTAACATTTTGATGAACTTTAAATTGACTCAGCTGTTTAGTGTTTTAACTTTTGCTGTTGATCTATATTAAATTTGTATTCCTTGGACTTTGTTTTTATTGTGAACTTAGTGTTTGAACTTTTAAAATTGATGTAATAAAATATTTCATTGTGTTTTATTCTAGCTAATCATATACATTACTTCATAATTGTATTACTATTATTGACACACATCCAATTCTAATAACATGGTTAAATATGTATAAATAAAGATTGAATTGTATAAACACAGTAAATATTAATCCTAAAATAAACAACAAATATAAATAAAATGAAAACTTAAGCAATCAAATAAACGATAAATGTAAATAAAACAATAAATAAAATACAGAAGAAAAAAGTTAAACAATAAAATAAATCTAATAACAAAACAAAATAATTCTAAAATAACCAATAAAACTAATTTAAACATAAAAGTCTGAAATAAAATAAACATTAGCAAAAATATTTGTAAAATAATAATAAAATAAATCAAAAATTACAATGGATGATGAAAATCGTACAGATGATACATACAATATTCAACCAGACCAAACTCTATCTGTTAGACTGCAAAGAGGTGTCGAAATGGATGCAGACAGAGATGAAGATATATTTTCATCTCTTCAGCATATGATAGATATGTATCCAAATTCTAGAGACATAACATTTAACAATATTCCTATTTCACAAATTACAAATCTGGATGATTTGGAAATGTATATAGAACAGGAATTGAATTTAAATTTGCCTGAAGATGTTGAATCTTTTTTAAACAGTGAACAGAGCGGTGGTGCAGTCACTCAGGAAACTAGTGCTTCTGCTACTGTTAACACCCAACTGACAGATGATGGTTTTGATGATGATGATGACGACGACAGTCATTCAACTAGCCATGCAACACACGGTAGGACTGATATTGAATCAACACACCAGTCAAATGTCGATGATGAACAACCATCAACCTCAAATGTTGCGGAGCCTTTAAGGCATAGGCCAACAAGACAGATAGACATTGAAACATTGTTGAGAGATGGCGGTAATGTAAACGAATATCATGTTTTACCAAGGCCTCGTTTCAATAGTGTATCGTTGCGTAGGACATTGAATATGAGTGAAATAAGATCTCAGGATTTAGCATCGTACCACATACGTTTACACGATACCATGGATGACATTGTGTCATTCGCTAGACAGATTGGCGGTGATGGTAGCGTCATCAATTTATGCCTTCGAACACCCACTCTGAAATCGGATGTAAATGCAGTTTTAACACCTGGTAATAATTACGACGTTAATCTTTTTACAGATCAAATTGCAAAAATTTTACAGAGCGATGATCGGTTATCAGCTAACGAAACTGTTGAGATTGAAGCAGAGGTTGTAATGAACAGACTAGGAGGAGGTCGCCGTAAACTTACGGATTTGGCTTTTGATCAGGTAATCAAAAGAAAAAAGACGAGCTTGTTTATACCTACAAATATTTCAAACAAATTATGTTTCTCTATCTGTATAGCACATTTTCTAGACCCTAAATTACCTGAGTGTGAATTAGAAAACCATGCATCAATCATACACAATAAAGTGGGTCTTGCTATCCAAGACAAGGTTGGTTTTCATGACATAGCAAAATTTGAAAACATGCTTGACATCAAGATTGTTGTTTTTTATAGGACAAACACCGGTGTGTTACAAACATACGTAAATAACACCGAACCTCACGACAAAACGGTGTACCTTTATTTACAAGACGAACATTACTACATGATTCTCAATCTGAAATCATTCATAGGTGCTAACTTTGTGTGTGAATTCTGCTATAAGGGGTACACATCGCTGCGAAATCATCAATGCAAACATGTCTGTAACGTCTGCTTTGACAGCGAATGTTACAAGCATCCTAAAAAAATCATTCATTGTACCGATTGTTTGCGCTACTGCAAATCTTCTTACTGCTACCAAGCTCATAAGAAACCTATGCTTGAAGGAGAAAAAGTACCTTGCAACGTTATAAAATACTGCAAGAAATGCAATAGACGGTACGATAAGAAAATGTCTAAACACATATGTGCACCAAACCGTTGTGGTGCATGTCGTGAAGAACTTGTCCCTGGTGGAGAACATGAGTGTTTTATTAAAACAGTAGCACTCAAAGACCCTCAGAATAAATACATCTTTTACGATTTCGAGACTCGTTATGAAAATGGGAGACACGTAGCAAATTTTGTCTGCGCAATAACGTTTTGTGGTGAAAGATTTGTAGCCGGGGGGTCTGACTGTGTGAAAAAAATGATCGATCATTTCAGAAAACCCAAATACGAAGGCTATTGTTTCATAGCTCATAATGCATCCGGATTTGACTCCTTTCTAATTCTTGAATATTTTTGTAAAGCAGGTCTTCAAATGGACATCATCATGAAAGGATGTAAATTAATCTTCATGTTCGATGTTTCATTTAAGCAACGCTATATAGATAGCATATCCTTCATACCGATGGCTCTGTCTAAGATGCCGGCAGCATTAAATCTCACCACAACAGAAAAAGGCTACTTTCCGCATCATTTCAATAGATTAGAAAATGAGAACTACGTAGGACCTTATCCTGACAAAAAGTATTATGGTTACGAAAACCTATCGGAAAAAGATCAGGCAAAGTTCGATGCGTGGTACGCTACTACTTCAGGGGAGGTTTTCGACTTCAAGGAACAGTTGTGCCAATATGGTGTAAATGATGTTGTCTTGCTCCGTGAAGCATGCATGACATACAGAGAATCGTTCATAGAGTGTACACAAATCGATCCATTTAGTTACACAACTCTTCCTAGTTGTTGTATGGGAATTTTCAAGACACACTATCTGAAAGACCACACTATTGCTCTAACCCATGAAAATGCATACATTCGGCAAAATAAGACATTCTCGAGTGTCTCGATTGAATGGTTGGAGTATTTAAAAAAGACTAGAAACGTTGACATTCATCATGCTCTGAATCATGGTGAAATGCAAATTGGTCAATACTTTTTAGACGGCTACTACGAACAGGACGATTCAAGGTATGGCCTTGATTTTTTGGGGTGTCTGTTTCATGCGCACCAATGCCGTTATGAGCCTCACAAACTCCACCCCATGTCGGGTGTACCCTTTGGTGTTCTCAGACGTCAAGTTGACGAAAAAATTGAAATTCTACAAAACGCTTATGGCTTAAAAGTAGAGATTATCTGGGAATGCGAATGGTCTAAAATGAAACAAACAGACCCTTCAGTGATAGAATTTATGAGCACTTATTCGGCGCCTGAAAGACTGAAACCAAGAGATGCGCTTTTCGGAGGTCGTACCAATGCTTATAAGTTGTATCACAAAGTGGGGGAGGGGGAGACCATTTCTTATCTGGATGTCACATCTCTCTATCCCTTTGTTATGAGTACAAAGACGTATCCAATAGGGCACCCCGAAATAATTTTCAACGACTTTCAGCCGATCGAAAATTATTACGGTCTTATTAAGGCAACTGTGTATCCGCCCCGAAAATTACTACATCCGGTCCTCCCTTACAGATGCGGCGGTAAACTCATGTTCCCGTTATGCAGAACATGCGCACACGATGAAAACCAAACATCGAGATGTAATCATACGGATGATGAGAGGGCCCTTAGTGGGTCGTGGGTCAGTGTTGAACTTTTAAAAGCGATTGAGAAAGGGTATGTCGTGGTCAAAGTCGACGAAGTTTGGCATTTTCCTGAAAGGTCAGACAAGTTGTTTAGCGAATACGTTAAAACGTTTTTACGTTTAAAACAACAAGCATCCGGATACCCTTCAAACGTTACCACTGATTCTGAAAAAGAGACATACATTCGCAAATACTATGAGAGAGAGGGGATTCAACTTGACCCTTCACAGATCACTCATAACCCGGCCCAAAGGGCTATAAACAAGCTAATTTTAAATGCAGTTTGGGGACGTTTCGCGATGCAGTCTCAGCATTCTGTTACGCAACTTGTACGAGACCCTGAAGAATTCACCACGATTGTTTTCGGTAAAACTGATGCATTGAAATATTTTACTTTCATCTCAGATGATGTAGCGTTAGTCCAATTTCAACCTACCGAAGATAGTCATCGCATTATTCGTGACATTAACGTATTCATAGGAGCGTACACAACTTCGTGGGCGCGGTTAGAATTGTACAAATTGATGGACAAACTTGGCGATCGTTTATTATACTCTGACACAGATAGTGTTATTTTTGTATCCAAGGCCGGTGACTGGATGCCACCTCTGGGTGATTATTTGGGGGACTTGACAGATGAAATAGGCGATGGTGATTATATTACCGAGTTTTGTTCCAGCGGACCAAAGTCGTATGGTTACCGTACCGCTTCCGGTAAAGTCTGCATGAAAGCTAAGGGTATAACTCTGAATGCTAAAAATTCCCAAACGATAAGATTAGACACATTGATTGGTCTGGTTGATGGGTATGTTACATCAGGCGATGACTCTCGATACATTTTAGCTCAAGCTGACAACATTGTCAGGAATAAAAAACACCTCACACTCCACAACAAATCAGTCGTTAAAAAGTTCAAGGTGGTGTATAACAAGCGAAGACTTTTACCCGACTACACAACTCTACCTTATGGCTTTTAATTCAATGTATAGAGGAATGCGTGAAATGGTTGATTTTGATTTCAGACTTCAACATCCGTTTTCATGTGTCATAAGTGGACCATCCAATTCAGGGAAGTCCTTTTTTGTAAAAATGTTATTGGAAAATGCTGTAAATATGATTTCTAAAAAAATTGATAATGTTGTTTTCCTGTATGACTGTTGGCAACCTTTGTATGACGAATTGCTTAAATTGTATGACATTAAATTCATTGAAGGTATACCTCAGAGTCTGAATGATGATCATCTACTACCTCGTGATAAAACAAACTTGTTGATTATCGACGATATGATGAAAGAAGCAAGCGGTAATTCCGAAATTGAAAAAGTCTTCACGCAATACGTTCATCATCGTAATCTCTCTGCAATTCTTATCGTGCAAAATTTGTTTGTTCAAGGTAAATCCAGCAGAACCATCAGTTTGAACACAAATTATTTAATATTGTTTAAAAACCCCCGTGATGCTAATCAAGTAGCGGTGTTGGGGCGTCAAATGTATCCTGGTAACACAAAATATTTTATGGAATGTTATCAAGATGCCGTCAAGAGTCCTTTCGGGTATCTCATGATTGACTATAAAGCTAAAACACCTGAACAATTTCGACTCAGAACAGGATTGTTTTCAGATCGTCAGGTGGTCTATCTCCAGAAAAAAAGAAGATCGTGATAACGAACCATGTCCGCGAGACTATGTAAACATTTACCTGTATTAAAAATGTTACATAAATCTACAGCTAAACAAAGACGACTTATTCTCCAGTCAGCATCTGACGATCTCATTTTAGCTCTCTGCGAACTCGCTCTCAACATCCTACACGGAGTTATACCGATCAACAACCAACAATACAGAAAATTGAAAAAGAAGAGGGCTGCGATAAAATTCCTCGCTAATAAAAAAATCAATATTGCGGCTAAGAAAAAAGTCTTTAATCAGACTGGCGGATTTCTTTTACCGCTCCTAAGCGTCGCTATACCATTTATTTCAAGTTTGATCGGTTCTAGACAGGGTTGAAGGATGGAGTATGCAGAGAAAATGTATCTCGTACCACAGAATCAGCTGGACAAAATACAATCAACAAGCGCTCGTGAAAATATTCAACAGGTGGTAGAGAACGATCTTGATACGGCTATAAGAAATATTTTACTCAGGACTGATTTGGATCAACGTGAAAAAGTTAAACTTTACTCAAACATCTTAACCAGATATTTAACAATTGTTAAACTAGGCGATCGTGAGAGTAGTGTTTTAACGCTATCGCTACCAAACCCTGAAGACGAACATAAAGTTAACTCTGACGAAACACATGCTGAAGACAACTCAAAAGATGATGTGACGTCTGAAGTTCTAAAGAACGTTCCGACAAAACGTGTGAAAAACAGCAAGTATATATTAGACAAAATGTCTAAAGCTAAAGATCTCAGCTCCTGGTCCGAGTCTGGTGAGTTTGTGTTTAAGGGTAAAACCATACCTGGTTCACACATGCTCGATTTAATAAACAACGTTACAGCTCCGCAACAAGTACGAGATGACCGAAGACCTAAAGGATGGACGGAGTTTCTTCAAGCATGCGCAGAATTAAACATACCTTTTTCGACTATACCAAACCAACAAGTACGGAGTAAGATTATTAGTTTAAAAAACAACCCTATTGACGATGATCAGGAGATTCTGTCTACTAAAAAAACTACGCGTAAAAAGAGAAAAAATCAGCAAAGGACACAACTACTAGAAGAGGACATGTTTGTTTCACCTACTCGTGATAAGAGTCGATGGATGCATTTTTAATGTCAACATGTTTCATGTTTTTTATGTTTTGTGTATCACTATCTTGAAATAAAATTCAACAAACAGATGATGATTGTAAGGTTTTTTTTATTACTCATTAAATTCATTTATACATCATGGAAGAAATACAGGTCTGAACACAATGGTTACACAAATACATGTTATCACTGCAAACATTAGCTTTTAGTTTTTTCACAAAAAGTTCTACCATTTTATCATTTTTAACATAATTTTCACTATACAGATTCATCACATAGTTGTAGTCACGACCCCTAGACATATGATACAAGAAAAAAACACAGTGATGACCACACACATTTGACATAAAGTCCTGGACACGTTTTGTAGAATATCTTGTCACTGTACTATTTCTCATTAAAAAGTTTTTAATAGCTATTGGAAATCCATCACTGTCCGGTTTGTTACCGAAACTGTCAAAGAAACATCCGACACCATCTTCCGATAAATAAACGGCTAGCCAGTGTTCCCCAGGTAGTTCTGAAGGGTGTGTGTTAATAATCACCATCGATGGTAAGTTTGTTAACGGTCTTTCAGGTAGTTGATCAGATGCCAGAGTTCCGAGAAAATGGGTGTTACATGTAATTTTGTCCATGATAGCGTTTAGCTGAATGGTGTTCATTTCCGATTAATAGTAATCAACCAGAATCTGTCTTCGGTTAGACACCTCAATGATACTGTCAAACACTGAGTAGATGATGAGGTTTATGGTATTTGGCAATGGTTGTCTGAAACGGGCTTCGAGTCTGATATTTCCAGACTTTATGAGAGAAACGTGTTGACCGCAGTCTTCGTCCGGTGTAAGGTTGAATGCATAAAGAGAATAACCCCTGGCAAATTCAGATCTGCTGATAGACAGTGCATGATTTTTAAGATGTCTGCCGGTAGCTGTTACGAGTTGATAAAATTCTCGTACCACTGAGCCGTCTGTAAAATTTGGCTGTAGAGGTTTAGCAGGAATTTGTTGTCCGTCGACGTAGATGGCTAGGAACTCCAAATCGTAATGTTTGAACGCAAATGGGTTTTTATCATAAGAACCGGTAAATGCATCGTTATCGGTCATCCCCAAGACGATTGATTTCGGTAAAGTCCCCAAAAATAGATTTTCCTGATTTGAAACTCGTGCTCCTTCTGGTATGGAGAAATTTTTCAGACATACCCTGTCAATCGGGTACTTTGCGTTGGTGGATAGCAAAGCCTGAGCATGGGCCAGTCGAACGTTCGGTGCGACTGATACTTTCTTGACAAATAGCGATGCAGACACAATTTTTAATTTATATGCTACGTCATCACTCCTCATCAGACAGAACTCGTCTTTACCTCTGATCATACGAATTTTTATATCGACGCCATTGAGCATTAATTTTTCTTGAAAGAAAATATCGCTGTGAATAGGCCCCATCAGATCAACAATCTTACTCCTGCTTGTGTATGTTGACCTTTTCAGGAGACCCTGATTATTGCCTAAGGGGTCTTTGACATCCATATGACCAGCCGTGTCTTTGAAGAAGAGACCGGCGCTGAATGTTGATTCCAGCGTGTCTTTGTCGTAGTTGATGAGACTCTCGATGATACATCGGTACGGGTGGGTGCTTGAGCTTTGAGAGATTAGTCGATCTCCGAGACTCACGTCGACTTGTGAGAAAATGGTGGCGGCGGGGTAATTGATTAAACCGACTTTTGCAGGATCTGCTATTTCACCACCATTAGGCTTTGTGATTTTAAGTCTCAGATGCAACAATGTGTTATTTAGATCGATGTATTCCTCACCGGAGCCTGCTATAAAAAACTCCAAAGGCGACGAATCCGAGATGGCTGATAGAGGAGGTACCTCAACATATGTATTTTTTTCTATAGCCGTCTGTGTTAAAGGTACTGTAAATAAGTCAAGCTCTGACTTAATACACTCTCCGGACATACGATGGAGTAGAGCCATGTTAGAAAATGGTGTTTATGTTTCTCTTAGCAAAGGTATTCCGTCTTACAGTCTTCTTACGCTTCCTGCGTGTGAGTGAAGTTTTCTTGACAGTGGGCTTTTTCTTTATAGCACGACCACGCCTCCTGACCCCTGGTGGTTTAGACATTCTCTTACGGGCCATGACCATAAGACCTGAACCGTCTTGTTGTCTCTCGTCACGATTTCTTGAAAGCACGTTTGAAATTACGTCCGATGCTATGTTTTTTGCAGCCGATTTCAAGTGAGGCTTGGCGATGTTGAACCCTTTTTTTAACAATGGTACAGCCATTCTAAACAGACCTCTAAATAACCCTCCCAGACCTGATCCGTACATGACACCACCGCCTGCATAGCCCGGGAGGCCTCCCCCAGCTTGATTTTGGTAGTAGTTGACATAATCGCTGATTTCGCCTTGATGTGTATTGTAATAAGGCATTTTTAAAGAGACGTCTGTTTCACCGGTCTAAAATGTAGCTTCACAATAACTTTACCGTACGCAAATCTCACCTCTCGGTTTTGATCGTCTTTTATTTCTATGTTTATGTCCGTGATGATCGATTTGTTGACTGATGCGTAATGCGGTTTGTCGTATCTGACACTGACGATATCGTTGTTTTCACCGGTTATATGTACGCATCTTAAAAGTGGTACGTATGAATCACCGACTGATTGGTAGTCGATGATATCGGTGTAGACATATAATGTGTAGAATCCACCTTTGATGTCGGCTTGATGAGGTGCATATGTGCTGACGGTCCTGGTAAAATCAGCTTTTTCATGGTAGGCCGTTTGACCTAGTCCCTCTTCAGGTCTCACTCCTAATATAGCTCCTAGTTTCTCATAGAAACCTATAAAAATGTTAGGTTTTGCAACCAGATTAATTTTATTTTTTAATTCATCGTAAAACAATATCCCTGATGGTTTGATTGCATCGTTTATCATTTTGATCACAGCCGGTATATCCTTATAGTATCCTCCGGGTATTTGATATCGCCTGGAAACATAGAAACCATGTAGATCTGATTGTACATTTGCTACTAGTTTTTTTTTCTCTTCATTATCATGGTCAGGGTACATGTTTAGGTTGAAGATACCATCATCGTCTGTAATATTATACCAACTTCTAGGATATTCAATTTCAGCGAGCGCTACTTCCCATTCCCCTTTCAGGTGTATAGTTTTAGACAAATTAGTCTTATAACTAGATATACGATTTTCTGGATAAACGGATAAAGAAGCGTTACACGGGAGCGTAACGTAGAACCCGTTGTTGTCCATAGCTTGATTTGTATAATAATAAATAGCCATGAAAGGAAATGTGAAATTTAAGGTTTTTGCAAGTCTACCAGGGTTTTTTTGTCGATATAGCTATTAAATTTCGATGGCCATCCTAACCATTTCACTAAAACAAGTGTAGACCTCCCTTGCTTTTTCTCGCCTAAAATCTTTTCCACTTTGAACGATTTGTTTTTATTTACAAATATTTTCTGTATCTCTTGCTCATAAAAAACTCCATCGATAACATCTCCGTCATAATCTTTGAGCTTGTAGACGGGTGGTTGGCGTGGAATACATTCAGAAACGGTAAAAAATTCTTCGGTATAGTTTTGTTCGTAACCTTTGGCAAAGGGGCCTCTCACTTTAGAAATCCTAACCACGTCACCGACTTTAAATTTGAACACTGGTTTCTGAATCTTTATGTTACCGTAAGAGTTTTGAAACACCGTAGCTTCATTTTCTTTACAGACGTCAATGGGTCTCATCTTAATAGTCTTGTGATAACTGTTGTTGTATCCTGTCATAAGGTCTTGTAAGACATCGATGTAACGCCGTGAATTAGTGGCCGTTAGAAATCGCCACATTCTACTTTTTAATGTTCTATTAAATCGCTCCACAACGCTTGCCTTTAAATCAGTAGCCGTAGCAAAATGATTAATATCATATTTTTTCATAAGATCTTGAAAATGTTTGTTGAAAAATTCCTTTCCCTGATCAGTCTGTAATTTCCGTGGGACACGACCCTCTTCGAGTATAGACTCGAACGCTTTAGTAACTTCGACTCCACTCTTATTCTTCAACACCCGACTCCATGCATACTTGCTGAATACATCGATACAAGTTAGCATAAATTTATTACCATCGTTTTCCGTAGAATATGCCGTCATATCAACGAGATCGGCTTGAAATTGGGTATCCATACCATATACCACAACTCTATTTCGTTTGTATTTTATGGGTGCTGTTTTATGTAAAGTGTAAGCGTCTTCCCCGGCCAACCATCCCGATACCTGTTTATCGCTTAGACGGACTCCAGTTTCCTTAAACACAGCATCTTTTAAACGTTTTTTACCACCTAAAGCACCGGAGCTTGATGGGTCGTAATAAACTTTCTTCATTATATCAGACATGGTCCTGTTTCGATGGTTGTCAAAGAATAATGCAAAACATTGTTTGTACGAATCTTTTTTTATTTAAAGCGAGGAAACATTCATGCCATCAATCAGAAAATGGTTACATGCGGTCAAGGTAAGAAAGAAATTGGACACACGATGACATGTTTTTATCTAAAATGTAAGTGACCAAAGATTCAACAATTTCAGATATATCATCATCATCATTTTTTGCAATCAACGAAATGCATACATCTGTTACATAGGTAGACATACAGAGAACATCACCGACTCCAAACTGATCAGATACTTCAGACATAGCATCTAAAACTCTTTTAATCATAATAGAACATGGTTCGTTAGCATTAATACAAACATCAATCATATTGTCCCATGAGTTATTCATACTTCTAATAACATTCATTTCTTTTTTAAAATTCATCACACGTTTGGATTGTGATAAACGATCATCATTCGTGGAATCATTAATGACTTTACATAAAAGACCATTTAACTGATTTTTATAGTACTCTAATAAAAAGTTTTCAAGTATCTTGCTAGGTTTACATGTGTTTCCCATTGTGGTGTTTTCAGCTGGTTTGAGGTCTAGCCACTGCGGTGCCAGAAATCGACAGCGTCACTGACGATTTTCTCACAGGAGTCGTCCAGAATCTTGGTTCTGATGTCTTCCAGTCTTGCAAC